ATGCTTTACAAACTAATTTCAACCATAAATAGATACCGGTGCCTGGATTTATTTAGATTAATTGCTGACTTGGCAGAGGGCGGGGGGAGGAGGGAATGGGGGATGTTCTGTATTCCTGATACAATTATAGAAAACAAAATTATATTACAAGCTGTTTCCTGCACACAATAAGGGCTCAGTGCGGCCACCTGAACAAGATTCTGATTGTGCTGTAGACTAGCTAATTTTGCTGAGAAAATAGCTTCTCTTTTGTACAGTTTTGCTAACATGCATAAGAATGAATAGAATATATATAGGATATATATGAATAGGTTATATATATAAAATTAAAAAACACCACCTACTTGAGTGAATAGATGTCCACCTAGTGGCTAAAATATGAATTATCATAAGCCGTTACCATTAGCTTTCTGTGCACACATCATACTTTCAAGTCTTGCAGAATGAGGTATTGCCAGACACAAGTATTAAGGACAAAATAAACCAGGGACAATCCAAAAAATCCAAGCCATAGGAGCAAGAAGAGAAAAGTAGTACACTTTCATTGGGACCACTAGGAACTACTAAAAATCAAAATTTTCTGTTGTTTAGGGAAGTCAGATATTTTTATATTTAAATTTGAACTAAATTTTTCTGCTATTTTTCAATTACATTCTGAGTATTTGCTGTTGTAATGAATACACATTTCCCTGGACACTGTAAGAGTCACTTCCTGCTACTTGAAAATGGAGTTGATTCTTCTTCCCAATGACCAGTTAAGTGGTTAAAATCCACTTTCATTGTCCTTTTGGAATTTTGGCTGCCACTGGGACTTCCTGATGGCCACCACACCCAAGGAATACAACAGAGCCAAACTATACTTAGCAGGAGACTTGGCAAGGAAATTATAAGTGTAGGATGGCATGAACAACCGACTAGTTATTGAATAAAATATTATCAGTCAACAGGACAAGTGTAGATGATCATTTGGCTTGCCCTCTTTGGCTTAGCACTCTGTATTTTGGATATATTTTGGTCTTTACACTATTAATAATAGTTGGCATCACACTCACATTTTCATGAGCCTGTTCCTTTACTTTGCAATGGGTGTAATGTGTGCTGACCAAAACTATATGTGTGCAATGTGGGCTGAGAAGAGCTAAATGGGTGTAGGAACAGATACTGCTAACCCTGAATAAAGGCATTGGTGTCACACTCAAGCTTTTCTGACTTGAGCCAGTTAAAGGAACAGGCTCATAAAAATGTGAGTGATACCAATATTGAGCTGTTTTACTATACTACCCTTTAAAAGTACTTTTCCCCGCGCTGTAAAATTCCCACACATGCTCAGTTAAATACTACTTGGGCATTCACTACAGGAATTTCGTCAATTCATTCGTCAGAAGGACAAATGAATGAATAGAAATTTCAGACGAACAAATAAACACCAAATATCGGTGTTGGTTTGTCCGTTCGTTTAGTTTATTACAAGGAGGGAGCTACTGATGAGCAGCTCCCTCCTTGTAAAATGTAAAAATAGAAGCAACAGGGAGCAGTGCTCCCCGCCACTGTCTAAGCCCCCATGTCCTCCCTCACTCTATGGGGGTCAATATTAAAATCTCCCAAATGCCCCTACTCGCTATGCTGCAAGTAGGGGCATGTCTACTAAACATGCTGTGTAATTTGACTCATAACCCTCTGATTGGTTGAAAGGGGTTTGAAAGCAACCAGAGTGTTATGAGTCAAATTACACAGCATGGAAAATTCCAAAAAATGACTCAGAGCATTCTGATTGGTTGGATTCCAAGCCAACCAGAGTGCTGTGACAGGTAAATGTAGAGACTTACCTGTCAGTCTCTTTTTTTTACCTGTCAGAGCACTCTGATTGTTTGGCTTAAACCAACCAATCAGAGCGCTCTGAGCCTAATTGCAGGGCGTAGGAAGGCTTTACAAGCCTTTCCCCACCCTGCGGAGCTTATTCTGCACCATGCCTTTGCTGGGTGAAGAAGGTTTTTTTTTAGGGTGGGATTTTGTCTTGGGGGACGCTCTGGTTTTTTATTTTATTAGTTCGATAGGTATTATGGTTTTTTATTTTGGGACTGAAAAAAGTTTTTAGAAAAAAGAAGACATCAAATGCTAAGTATTTTAAAATTTATTTACAGGGATTTAGTTTTATTGTCTCCCGCCACATTATTTTTAGGGTGAGGGGGTTGGGTAGGGCTTTAATTTTTTTTGGTGTGGGGGGTGGCTAGAGGTTTGGGAATCCCTAGTCACCTGGGGGGGTATTTTGACATTTAGCCCCCATCCGCCACCCATGGGTGGGGGGAGGCCAATAGGTCCCCCCCATTTACACTTAGGGCTCCTATCCGCCGCTCAGGGTTGGGGGCCGGGGGAAGGACAATAGGTGTCCACCCCATTTACATTTAGGGCCCCCACCCGCCGCTCACGGGTGGGGGCCGGGGGGGAGGACAATAGGTTTCCCCCCATTTTCATTTAGGGCCCCCACTCACCGCTCATGGGTGGGGGCCAAGGGGGACTCTTGCCCCCCCATTTAGTTGAATAGCCCCACTTGCTGGGGAACGGGTGGGGGGTAGCTCGGGGGGACACACTATGTCCCCCCCAGGCTAGATAAGAGATGCCCTACCATGGGGCCATTTATTGGGGGGAGTATATATATATATATATATATATATATATATATATATTTTACAACATTGAGCAGCCACAGCTCACTCTTTACTAGACATGCCTCTACTCGCGATATAGCAAGTTGGGCCAGATTAATTATTAATACTAAGTAATCTTTACTTAGTATTAGTAAAGTTGGCTGAAAGACCAATCTTGGTCTTTCAGCCTTTTGGTAATACCGTGGGAATTATGGAGCTATCTACTAAGCGGCTGCAAGATGCAGCCGCAACACGTATCGGAATTTCATTAATTCGAATGAAATTCCGATCCAAACAAAAGTCCTGAATTTTGTCATAACACGAATGGACGAACTGCTCTCATTCTGTTATGACGAAATTGCCGGCGTTCGGTTTTACGTAAAGGAGGCATCATGAGAACACAGAGGAAAGGTGAGAATTGTGGGGACATTTCTCTGATTACAGGAAATGGAGCACACTTTGCTCCTCCGCTGGTCATAAATGGTAAATAGTGATAGTTTATATTTATAGTAATGATAAATAGTCCCTACTTTGTCTTATGTTTTAATGAAAACTAGATCAGACAGGAAGAACAGATCCCGAGAGAGGAAGAGAAGAGGAAGCGATTAGGGAAAGGTAAGTTCGGCATGACAGCGCCGTTTTAAGTTTTTTTTTTAATTTCTTTATTTTTTCAGTGCATGTAGATACAGATAAGCAGACAGTGCCAATATAACATAGACAATCATGAAACATCAAAACATGGCATCTGAATAAATTGCACTATTTTTTTTGTAAAAGAAAGAACATGAGGAAACTGAAAGCAGGAGTACATGACAGATTGAGTTTCTCAAAGTAATGAGAGAACAATATTAACTGAATAGACTTGCTAGCGTATATGTCAAAGATTTGAACCACTGGGACTAAGCTCTTCTTTATATTACTGCACCACTGTGAGAGTAATAATAAAGCAGATACGGTATCAGCAGTGGTAATAGATCTAGACAAGAGTCACCATCATCATCTGTTTCACAATGCTGGGAGGCAGTTGGAACCCGCAAGAAGGTAGAGTAGAAGTGGAACCTGGCCGACACGTAGCAGATCAGGACTTGCCTCCAGCCCCAGGGCTGTGTGGCGGCTCGCAGTGTTGGCGCATGGACTTTGTAGTCCCTTTGGATCAAATCTGTCCCCTGGCCGGGGTGAGCAGAAGGTCGAGGTGGTAGGTGCCTTTTTCGGCGGGCGATCCTCCTTTTTTGGATGGCAAATGTTTGTAGGCTATGCCTCAGTGGGCTTTCGGCCTAGGTAGGCGGACTGTAGAGTGTGGAGGCGCTGGTGCGGTGCGAAAGTGTGGAGGGGTCCCAGACTGTCTTGGCACAGCTCGTCCCTCAGATACCTCCATGTGTCCAGAGGGGTTAGGTTGTACACGATTCTGGAGCTTCAGCCAAAAGTTCTGGAATATGAATTCTATTCTCAAGATTCTAAGGAGTCATAGTGAGACTTATGGGCCGGAGGTATGCTCCGCTGATTGTGTGAAATGCCATCAGCCATCTTTGGTTCTCGTCTCGGACTGGTAGCCCCCAATGTTGTGGTGACGACTTGTGCCATGTGTGAGAGTCCAGTGGGGACCGGTCCAGGAAGGGGGTGGGGGGAGAGTAGGATGCCAGTGATTTGTACCGCAAGCAGGAGAGCAGCCACCTCTCCCCAGGTTCAACACCTGCAGGCCGCAGATGTGTGCCCAGGGCTCCCAGGTGAGTAGAAGTCGAAGTGAGGGCTCGTTTTGTGCCTTAGTGCACTCCCGAGCTGGGTAGCGCATTGCAGTGCTAGTGGCAAGTTTGTGCCTGGAGATAAGCCCCAAAATCCAGTGAGGCGTGCAGGAGACTCTGCACCAATGTGTCTCACCGGTTTGGCGGTCAGGCTCCGCCTTAAGGTTTTTTAAGTGTGTGGTTTTATGATATTTTTATATTTGCGCTGTGCACTTTATTTTATTCTATATCTGGAATCCAGACCAGATTCCTTTTGGGTTAAGCACCCAGTCCCCCCAATATAGGTGCCCCTTTTGGATGTGATTACAGGTCTTGAAGCAGTTGAAACAGTAAGTATTACAGTTAGCATGTAAATCTCCCATGCTAAAATTAGTGTAGGACCCACATATATTGGTATACTGTGACATAGTGGTGGGCTTAACACAATATGGCCACATGGTGTAACTGAACTGTATGTGTTTGCTATGATAGGGTGGTTTTAAGTAGCCTTGTAAAATTGAATTATAATTTTTTTTGTGTCTGCATTGTTTGTTTCTCCGGTATTTTGCCAATAAGCAGCAGTCTGTTGTTGATGATCACAGATGACAGGAACATTAAGCTTAATGATTTATTGAGACCCAGTCATCCCACAGTGAATAATTGATTCAAAGAAAAAAAAAAAAAAAAAAACTTAAATGAACAGAATGTATTTCAGGGATTCTGTGATTGCATTTATTGGAAGCCAATATAAATAAAATAAAAAAATACAGGAATGACATATGTTTTCTAATACTTATCACATTTATGGTCGACATATAAAGTTCAATATAAATAGTTCACTCAACCATAAAAGGGACATATGACATTGTTCTAGGTCTTTGGAGCACCATTTGCCTATTCCTTGTATATAAGGAAAATGACCTTTAGCAAAAGCTAAAATGCAAGAAAACTGTATTTATTGTTCTAAGTGTTGCAAGTTTTGCTCCACTTGATGGAATGCAAATGATAAGAGCCATGGCTCACCATAAGGTGAACAGAATAATTGGCAGCACCGTTTAGCAGCAAAATGTTTAGATGGCAATAAACTTTCACTTCTTCCACATAACTTAATTTAACATTTAAAAGGAAAATAGTCAACTCCCAACACTCTCTCCCTAAGTAATGTCACTTAAATCATCCTCGGTTGATCGAGATGCGTTTACGGACTCAAGATCACTCTGCTTTTCTTAGTGCGTTCTAAGGAGTTAATGGCACCCCAAGCAATTAGAGCTGTCAGCGCAATGTGAATGCGCTACTGAAGAAAGCAGAGTTATGTTCAGTTAAAGGGACGCTATAGTCACCAGAATAACTACAGCTTAATGTAGTTGTCCTGGTGAGTATAATAGCTCCCTTCAGGCATTTTCATGTAAACACTGCCTTTTCAGACATAAGGCAGTGTTTGCATTGCCCCTAGGGACACCTCCAAGTGGCCACTCCTTAGATGATTCAATGCATCTCTATGAGGAGGTCCTGATTATCCAAAATGGCATTTGGCCTCGCCCCCATGCCGATTTTAGCCAGTAGGGAAAGCATTGGATAAAAATTGTCCATTTTGATGTTGTCACAAAGGGGGCAGAGCCAGCGCCGGAAAAATAAGGTGACTTTTAAACTTTTATAGGGGAGCTATGGGGTGGCAAGCCACTTAAACGGTGGGTTAAAAACACTGTAGGGTCAGGAATACATGTTTGTGCTCCTGACCCTATAGTGATCCTTTAAGTTTGGCTGAGGATCACTTCAAATTGAGGTGCTCAGGAAAAGAATGCTGAGAGAGCTCAAAGTTTTTCTTTAACAGTGGAGTAACAATACACATACAACACATTTCCTTGGTGATCTAGCAGAGGAAGCAAGGAATATGAGCCTCTGGTAGAGAGCCCTATTTCCTAATCCTATCAGGACTCATAATTTTCACTGGACTACCAGCTATTGGAGACTAAAAATTCATCCCTGACAAGTAGAAAAAATAAAAACTCTTGGTGAATGTGTCATGGACCCTCTAGACTTGCGGCATCAAGTAACTTTTAAGTCTGTCCAGTGAACTCGCTTAGTGTGAAAGAGGTCTAAGTTACTTAGGTACATATTTTTGGTTTTTCCTTATTGATTCCCATGGACTAGAAGCCAGGCATCTCACCGCTTCCAATGTATATAATGATATAATATAATATAATATAATTCCTACAATGAAACATTATGCATATTTACATCCCACATTAGGATTTATTAATTACCAATTAGGATCTGGGTTTATATTCTTCAGTTTCCTGCTTCGTTAAAGGGACATTATAGTCACCATAACCACTACAGCTTTATGTAGTTATTCTGGTGTGTATAGCATGTCTCCGCAGCCTTTGCAGTGTAAGCACTGCATCTTCTGAGAAAAGGCAGTGTTTACATTGCTGCTTAGTTACACCTTTACTGGCATTCACGCAGACGACTACTAGAGATGCTTCCAGTGTCAGTGTTGCACATTGTGCAGCACTGATGTTCAGCGTCTCCATACACTGCATGGAGGCGCTGAATGTTACCCCATAGAGATGCATTGATGCATGTAGTGTCAGGATTACATGTTTGTTTATAGTGTTCTAATAACTGCAGGCTGAAGTGAATCTTGTGTTCCACTCATACTATGAAAAATGATTTTAGCTGTACCAGGTCATAAAAAAATAAATACAAAATGTCAAAGTTAAAACGTGCTAGTTGTTTTACAAAGGCTGAGCTCTTAGGTTTGCCAGCAACAAGCAATGTTCTTGCTTAAAGCACATCTTCATATAGTAAATGAAATCTTGAACATGGTATAAACCATATCTGCACAAGTCACATATAATGGCTTTCCTTCCAAGTAATCATGAATGAGGTCAGAAATTGGTTTTGAAATTTTTGGCACTATAAAAAAGTTTTTTTTGGCATATAAATACACATGTATTGTGAGTTCAGTGGTTCATGCTTCTTTTTATATACATTTCATGCATAAAGTCCCAAAACCTCTCATTGTTTTTTTCCTTTCGATGAATCATTGCTGTTAGTGCTTCTCCTTGGTCTAAGCTCTGCCAATAATCTTGGAGCCACATTTGCTTCCAGCTGCAAAACACAAATAAAACCATAATACAAAAGGAAATTTAGTCAATTAAAGGTTTAAATAGACACTATAGGCACTGTAACTGCTTTATCTCATTGAAGTGGTTATAGTACCTGGAGTTCCCTGGTGCTGTCCTTCCATTCAGTGTTAAACCTTTAATGTGTTAATGTTAAACGAGAGTCCCCAGCAGCTCATCCCCCACATGTTCCTTGGGCTAATGAGGAATCATTTGTCCGAGCAGCAATTCGTTCCTGTAATTGGCTGACTGTGTCAGCTGACGGCTCTCATTCATGGTATAAACTGGAATGGATAGAAGGAAGTGTGTGACCTCTGCATTGGCCATACCTCCAGAAGGGGCCAGTCTGTGCATGTCCAAGGACTATATTTAGTTTTAAATAGCTTGAAAATGTATCACACTAAGTGAAGAAACAGTGCTAAGGGGACTCCAGGCATTATATTAAATTCAATGAGATGAAATGGTCATAGTGCCTATAGTGCCACTTTAAGCAAGAGTTGTTTACTAATGTCAAACACTGGGGTCTATTTAAGAAAGTAAAAATTATCTATTTCTGCACGGGTTTATACGGACTACAAATCCAAACATTTTTCACAGTAGTTAACATTATTATTTAACAATTTTGTTGCTGAACAAGTCAAAACTGTGTCCGGATTTTAGCCTGTTTGAATGCTACCAGACAGCCAAAATGCAGGCCAAGATTTTAAATGACCAAACTATTTACCCACTGGCAACTATAGTAACAAATATTTAAAAAGGACTATCATTGACACAAGGGTTAGGTGTGTGGTGGCAGGCCAGTGCTTGCAATGTCATGCATCCTATTTTCCCAAACCTGGTAGAAATTACTGAAGCATCTGATGGGAAATACTGCTACATGTTTTTTGTGCCAGTACAAACTATTCTGACGTTCGTCTTACATGTGGCTGATGTGATGTCCGTTTAATCAGTATGTGTTGCTAAATGCTTTTTTTCATTAGAAGAAGGCACTGGTTAAACTGGTTTACAGTTTATGAGTTGCTACACATACAGAGTGTAACCCCTCTGTTGTTGAAATTGTAAGTCTATCACTGGAAATATCAATGGGACATTGGTACCCAACCTGGAACAAGAGTTGTATGTTATCTAATCTCAGCTCTGTGTATGCTTGGCGTCTGTTGTCCGCACACACAGCTTGCTGGCAACAGACAGCCAATAGCGACATGCTGCACATGTCAACCCTTCAGCCCACTTCCTTTACATCCATCTATCTCAAGAGAGGGGTAGTGAGGCCAATGAAGGAATGTTAGTCTCTTATTAGAACTTGGCCTTGGAACTGGTAGGTAGGTGAGTTTAAGCTATTTTCTTTTTTTTTGGGGGGGGAGTGGGGGAGGTTGGGTTATTCTGACCCAAAAACAATGTTTTCTTAAAACCCTGATTTTTGATTGTAGTAACCTTTTAAATGCAGGAAAACTGTAGATAAAACAATTTAAGATAAAAAGCCTTGTTTTGTTGGATCAATTTATGTTATACAGCCCCCAGAAAAAAAGAATACCTGTCCGTCTCTGGAAGGTCCTCGGCCGCCCCAAGACCAGGGACTGGCATAGGACAGGCCATATGAGTGTTGTCAGCAATGTGTGGCTCTGGTGGTGGACTTTTCCCACGTGTTTTCTTATTCATCCTTTCTGCTGTGATTCTAGCATTCTCTTTGTCACAGACAAAGCACTCAAAGCCATTGAGGTAATTGGGTACGGTCATGTCGTTCACTCCCCACTCTCTCTGTTCCATACTTTCTATCAGGAAGGTGTTGGTTATCCCTCCAGGTTTCTTGTAGTCTAAAAACTTAAGATACTCTTCATCATTCTGGTCCAGAAAAAGGATGAAGTCTGCAAGCTCTTTTGGAGAAGCAAAGTCATCAATCACTATAAGTGAATGGTTGTTGGGCATCCAGTCTCTCACAGAAGGTGAGCCCCGATAAATTGGAACTGCTCCCAAATGCATTGGACGCCATAGTTTCTCTGTCATGTAGTCAGTACATATAGCATTCTCCATAGCCAAGTGGAACTTATACCTGGCTGTATACACCATGAATTCTGGGTCTTCGGTTGTGGCAGTGGAAGTGTCCTCGAGTCTCTTGTTCGGAAACTGACGGTTGTTCAAGCACTGGCCATATGAATCAATCTAGAGAACAGTAAGAAATCAGTACAACCAGGTCAAAGTGTGTTGTTTATAGAACTACCATATAATCGTTTTGGACAATGTGACAGAATGACATATACGTCTATCAGCATGTGTAATAAGACCTCACTTGTCACGTTTTTCATGGATGATTCTTGACATAGAAATAAATTATGAAAATATTAAACTTCGTGTTCCTCTGAATATCAAGCCAGACTACACGGTCCCAAAGGTTTATTCCAACACTTTTTAAATGTATCTAATTTTCACTTTGCAATTCCCTGTTGGGAATTAGCAGCTAGTTCCCTCCCTGAAAAACTAAGAATAAAGTTACCTGGAATTCAGAGATATGCAAAGCTCCCGTCTGTGGTTTTGACCCCATTGTTGAAGTCACAGCCTCCCTTGCAAGGTCCAATCAAATGCTTCTCACAGAGAAACATTTGATTGGACCATTCTTCCCGGCTCAGAGTGCATGCTTGGGAAGGTGGGAAGGGAATAGAGGGACAAGGTGAAGGTGAGCTTTCATGCTAAATTTAAAAAACTGCAGAATACTAAACGGATGGTTGGCAGATAGAAAGGGAGGGGACATTAAAACTTCTCCTTGCAAATGTGCTGCCTGCAAGAGAGAATTTCACTATGTCTATTTTTGCACAGGATTGATATTAATCAACCTGGAACAGAGTTCCGGGCTACCTAAGTCATGAGTGCTGGGGGTGTAACTAGCCCCCAGCACAAAAGTGCTACACATACCGACTTCTACCACCATGACCACTTCTAAAAGCAGAAGTGGTCATGGTGGTTGGAGTAACCCTTTAATAACCAGCAGGATGGTTGGTTATGAGAACATATTCACAAGGGCTAATCATCACAACTGAGATTGAGGGTCACTTAAAGGAGTCCTAACAAATAATAAACTACATTTTATGAACTGAGGCAATGCCTGTGTTTTTAATGTTAAATCAAAGGGATTTATGCAGTTTAAGATGTTGATATGACATACCTCAAAAAGTTGCACACTGTATTGTTAGGGATTTATTTACTATAAAAGGATTTAAAGTAACTATTTATTAAGCATGTTCTAATGTAGTGAACTTTGGATATATTTCTTTGATGAAAGCATCCCTTGGTCAAAGAAAGACTATGAATAATTGACAAAACAATTTAGCTTATTTACCTGCAAGTATTTCATTAATTCTTCCACATATCGGTCTCTGTCTGAAGGGACATCACAGTGCGACTGCATGTAGAGCACAGGAGCATAGCCATTCTCGCGCCACCTATTTTTATCTTCTAAAGGAATGGCTGGATTCCACAAGTAATCAATGGTGGGCAGCCATTGCAAGGTAAGAGGATAATCAGATTCCCGCCTGAAGGTGGCAGTGTAATTAAATAGCCTTATTCCAGGCAAATGTGACAGGACATAGTTATTCATTGGAGATTCTTCATGAAACAATGCCCAAGTCTGATGGGGCAGCCTGGGTAGAGGTGCTTCGTAAGCCCTGAAGTCTGTTCCATAAAAGATAATGGATTTAGTCCTCTTGTGAAGTTTCACACTCTTGCTTTTTGTCACCATGCAAGAGCTGTGTGGACAGTCAATCCTCTCAGTATGCCCTGGGAAATGGGGGAAAAGGTTTTCACTCCACCACAAAAGAATGGGTAACTCTTTATTGCTTCTTGTGTCACTATTGCCCGGACCCCTGTACGAGTCTGCAATTATTGCCCCCATATCAGCAGCAGAAAACACACTGGAGGGCTGGAATGATGACTGATCCCACTGATCAGAGGACAGTACCAAATTATCTTCCAGGAAAAAATGGGATTCCACTGAGCTGCTGTCCTGAGCATAACTATGGATGTCAGGCTCCCTGGATTGGATGCTTTCTTCTACACTTGGATCTGGCCAGGCTGCTACAACTGCTTGCTGGTTTACAGCTTCTTTATAGTCTGTAATTGGCACAAGTGGATCCCACTCTGCCATAACAGAGACTGGAAACAACATACACAAGATGATACAGACTAAAAAAAAATAACCAAGACAAGAGCATCTAGTCTTATCAGAAAGTGGCTGCAGGGAAGTTCTAATCACAGAATCATGTAATACAGTCTTTGGTGCTGTAGCTGTGAGGAGTATCTTCCAACTCTCATCATGCAGTGTGTGTAATGCACAGTTATACAGAGTACTGGTCCCAACATTCCATGTACAGCCAGCACAGTTTGCCATTCTTCTTCTTGTTGTTATAGTGATTTTATTTGTATAGACTCACTGGTGCGGATCAGCCGCTCTCCCGCAGGCAGAGATGGATACAATGTATCCCAACAGGATGTGGCATGCTGGAGTATCTGCTGGCACTGCTTCCTGCTTGTGTGGCTGGGAAGGGATAGAACGTCATATACATACTTTTTTTTTAAAGCAAACTTTATTGGCAAAGACAAATCAGACAAGTGCAGATACATTGGATTTTATTTACTACAGAATGTTGTCGAGAATGTTTGCATTAATAGAAAGAGCGGTATGGATTGTGCTTCTATTAATGTAAACACATTCTGCTTTTAAATACTCACAGGGCCATTCACAAAAGTGAGAATTGTAGAAGTACATTTCAATTTAAGGACAAAGTAACTGAACTGAACATGACTGACTTGGAGAAATAATCCAGTTGGCTATTTAAAATTTACTTTGGATTCCATTTCCACACAGTTCTCACCCTGCCTGCCTGCCTGAATCCCCCCCTCCCTCTTATCTGGTTTGTAGAAAGACTTGCACGTTTATTCTGAAAACTCTTGAATTTAATCCAAATAGGAATTCATGATAAGACTTTATTATGAAAAAATAATTAATTTCTTTTAGTTTTCTCCGGGATCAGCTTTTTTTGGCCTGAATTTGTTGCATTTATTGAATATCCCTGTTAGAAACACACAATGAGAGACGGTGAAAACTATATGACTGCATCTCTGTTTACCATAGTTTAATCCTTGGAATAATTATTGAATCCTGGGAATTATTAAAAAAAAAATTCCCAGTGATGTTTTAAAGGCCACAGGGATTTCTGGATGAAATGTGAATAGCCCAAACACATACCTGATGCCATTTCTACAATGTAACAACTGTGATTGTCTTGATTTGATACATTAGCAAACATTTTTCCTGTACTGGTAGAGTCTCTTCAGGTCTCATCATAGGCTGCCCTCCTTCTGTAGCTACCTGTAAACATCTAAGTGCTATACAGGTTACAATGCCTTTTAGATTTCACGGCACATTTCAAGAACTAAAACAACTAGAGCCAGCTGTAGTGGTTACGGTGCCAGGAGTGCCCCGGTGCCATCAGAGTATAATCGTCAAACTGTTTTAGCATAATTTGACAGTTATCTAGGTGCCCATTCTTTCTTCACAGAGCTGGAACAGCTGCGTGTCCCTTTTGTTCAATAAAGGAACAGATTCAACTCACTCTCTTAACTACATGATGATTACATATATTGACACCCATTAGTCTCACAAGACTGGATGCAGAGTGGGTGCTCAAGGGGACCCAAGCAGTGGTGTATCCTGGTTTTGTGCTGCCCTTGGCTTACCTTATTTCCGGCGTCAAGCGGGTCTGACCGACATCAGAATTGACAATCTCAGCCAATCCAATGCTTTCCCATAGGAAAAGCATTGGATTGGCTGAGATCGGAAAGGTGGCGGGCCAAACACCAGCTTGGCCATCAGCATCACTTTTTAGAGATACATTGATTATCTCTATCGGGAAAGTTTAGCATCTCCATGCAGAGCATGGCGACACTGTATGTCAGTACTGCACACTGAGCAGCACTGCCCCAGGAAAAACCTCAAGTAGCCATCTGAGGACTGGCTACTAATGGTGTTTATCTGAAAAGGCAGGGTTTACAGCAAAAAAGCTGCAGGGACATACTATAATCATCAGAACAACTACATTAAGCTGTAGTTGTATGGGGGATTATAACACCACTTCAAGTAGTTTGGCAATGAAGAATTCTGCAGAATAAGCATTATACATACTGAAGATCAACCTTTTTCATACATGACAAAATTATGCGTGTCCCTGATAACATGGTTGATCTTGTAACCCAAACTATAAAAGAAGGCTATAATGGTTAGAGTGTTTTTATAGTAACTCATTAGCATGTAAATATTAATTTGTTTAGTACTATTGGACTGTCTTGGAAATTAACTGTAAGAAGCTTCTCAATCATTGCTATTAAAACTTTTAACAATATTTATAGTCACATGTGATTTACTTAGGAAAACAAGTGTTAAATATCCCAAAATGTGTGACACTATAACCTTTACTACAACACAGTAAATGAAGAATGTAGTAATGTTTTTAAGGAGACTCGCTAATGTTTGTGTCAAATGTATCATACAGCAGAGGGAAGTCAGTGCTAGCCTCAACCTTCACTACTCCCTTCTTAATTCTTAGAAGTCTGATTAAAGGAATTCTCCAATGCCAGGAAAACAAACCCGTTTTCCTGGCACTAGAGAATCCTGAAGTGCCCCCCATACCATGTCGCTCAAGGGGTTAAAACCCATTCAGCTACGTACCTGAATCCAGCGCGACGTCCCTCGGCACTGGGTCAGGCTCCGCCTATGCTCCTCCCCCGCCAACAGGAGAGGCCTAATGCGCATGTGCAGCAAATGGACATCCAGCGTCAGATAACAGACCGAAAGTCCGTTACGAATCCGGAAGCACCCCCCAGTGGCTGTCTGTTAGCCACAAAGTTCAGTCTTAGAGCTTCAATGTAAACATTGCACTAAGTGCAAAAGGGACATAGCACTCAGACTACTTCAATTAGCTGAAATAGTCTGGGTGCCAATAGTGTGTCCCTTTAAGAGAACACCATAGGATCAGGAATACAAACAATTTAGCCCCTCTTAAATAAAGTAAAAACTCACTTTTATTCCAGTTCCGTGCAGGTCCACCAGATGTGGCCGCCCCTGATCTGCCACCTTGGCCGACATCAGAATTGATCATCTTAGCCAACCAATGCTTTCTCATAGGAGATTGGCAATTCTGATCATCTCAGCCAAGGAAGTGGGGCAGAGCCACACAGCATCTTGTGTTAGAGATGCATTACATCAATGCATCTCTATGATGAAAGTTCAGCGGCTCCATGCAAAACGTGGAAATGTTGAATGTCAGTGCTGCACAACATGAAGCACTGTCCGTCTGAATGACTGCCACTGGAGGAGGTGTCCCAAAGCAGCAATGCAAGCACTACATTTTCTACGAAAAGGCAGGGTTTACATTAACATGCCTGCAGGGACTGGCTATACTCACCAGAACAATTGCATTAAGCTGTTGCTCTTCTGGTGAGTGGTATCCCTTTAAAGACTACAATGTCAAATGGCAGATGAAATTTAATGTTGAAAAATGCAAAGTTATGCACTTCGGCGTAAAGAATACACAAGCAACGTATACCCTTAATGGAAGCGATCTAAGGATAACAACACACGAAAAGGACTTGGGAATTGTTATAGACACCAAAAAGTATGCAACAATGTGCAATATCAATCAGCAGTGGCCAAGGCCAGTAAGGTATTGTCATGCATGAAAAAGGGCATTCATTCTCGAGACGAGAATATAATTGTGCCTCTTTAGAAATCACTGGTAAGACCACATATTGAATATGCTGTGCAATTTTGGGCACCTGTTCTAAAGAAGGATATTATGGCACTAGAAAAAGTGCAGAGGCGGACTACAAAATTAATAAAAGGAATGGAACATATCCGCTATGAAGAAAGGTTAACAAATTTAAACCTATTTAGTTTAGAAAAACGTCGTCTGAGAGGGGATATGATAACATTATACAAATATATTCGGGGCCAATACAAACCATTGTATGGCAATCTATTCAGAAACCGGACTTTACATAGGACACGAGGTCATGCATTTAGACAGGAAGAAAGAAGATTTCGTCTAAGGCAAAGGAAAGTTTTTTGTTTTTTTTACTGTAAGAACAATAAGGATGTGGCATTCTCTGCCTGAAGAAGTGGTTTTATCAGAGTCCATACAGATGTTCAAACAGCTACTAGATGCATACTTGCAAAAACAGAATAGTCAAGGATATAATCTTTCAATGTAGGGTAATAACTGCTTTATCCAAGGATAAATCTGACTGCCATTCTGGGGTCAAGAAGGATTTTTTTTCCCCCCTAGCTTGTGGCAAAATTGGAAGTTCTTCAAACTGGGTTTTTGCCTTCTTTTGGATCAACAGCAAAAAAACAAAATGTGAGGAAGGCTGAACTTGGTGGACGCAAGTTTCTTTTCAGCTATGTAACTATGTAATGTATTTCAGATGAGATTTTATTTTTCCTCAAAGATTACCTAATTAGTTCACATATCTTAATAGATTGGAAATGATAGTTAAACTCTCCACAGCATACATATACCTGAACAAAATGCAACATACGAGGTTGGTAGGGAAGACTAGGAAGGTTTTCAGTGTTCACAAACAATTCACTTAAATACATATGAATTTATTTAATTTATTTCTTTACAAATTAAAAGTTGCATTGGCAAAACACACAAATGAAGAAAAGACTGGAATATATATATGTATATAATTTATAATTTCCCCTCTTTAAATCAACATGACAGTTAATACTAAACATTAGTATACATCGGCTGCCAAGGTCTGATTATCCAGAGGCATCTATGAATTTTTATTGACTATTAACGGGATGAAAAATAAAAATAAAAATACTGACAATAAACTACAAGTTATTTCCCATGGTGCATAAACTAATAAGCAGATTCCTGAAGAAGGTTCTCCCATCTGAGTCAGCAGTCGTCTCAGAGCTCATTATCCTGATCTTTCTCGACAAAGTGACATTAGAAGGGAAGAGGCATAAGAAAAACATATCTAACAGTAGTATTTACTAAAGTGAGAATTAAAAGTGATTTATAAATTTAAGGCCAGAGTAGATGAACTGAAAGTATAACAGACAGAGAATTTTTCCAGTTTGCTACTTTTACGTTACATTTGAAAATCGCTTTGAACTCTTACTTTGGTATAGAAGCCTGTAAGAGTACAATACTAGTACCTTAAGGAAAACAAACAGTAAATGAGCTTTAAGCTTTGTCGATCCACTGCAGTATTCAGAATGTACACAAGGTCACTCTCGCTCGAAATCTCTTCCCGTTTAAGTTAGATGATGTTATGTCTAAATTCTTTCCTGTGCATACTGCAAAATATCTTGTGTTAAATAAAAGTTCAGCTTTTTCATGAATTGCCTGCTGGTCCCAATCCTTCCATTGCTACATAGTGATAGAAAGAAACAAAACACCCAAAGACAATAAAATCTACGTAAAGCATCTTATTTTTAGGTACGTCACTTTAGTGGTTTTGACCTGTTCTGTGTTTGAGCATAATATTGTCCCTCACCTTAAAGTCGTCGCTGTTGGATGAGTAAAAACCTTGATCTATATAAGAATAAAAACTCTTTTCAGAATGTTTTATGACTTTCTGCATTCCACCTTCTCTTCTTATGCCTGTATTTAAATGTGATAATAAATTAACTAAATGATTTGTGCATCAGAATCTATTTACTACCACTACATGGTGTATATAGTGCTACACTCCAGATTGCTGATAAATGCAAGTTAAATTATTTACAGCAGAAGTCATGACAAGTCAGGGAGTGCCTGTATGAAAGCTCAGATGTTAAAGTGAAAGGCTCCATTAGTTAATAGGTCTTACAAATAAATGATTTAAAATCCAGAACATTAAAGCAGGATGATTTAATTTTGTATAGAAAAATAAAATATTGCCAAAAGCCATCTTTAGAGTGGGAACAAAGAAGGGTTAAGTACTTTTCGATCAGAACATAATCTTTAGTTCTAATATAGGTAACCCCCTGGAGATTTCCCCCTCCATTATGTAGGTGATGGTATGATGATTCCTTAAATAGGTAGGCTTAAAACCTTGTGACAAGGTTAAAAAAAAAAAAAAAGTGGAAGGAACAAAACACTCAATACACCCAGTAACGGCTTCAAAATCTTAATTGATTTAAAAGAAATTCATCAGAGGTTATTGGAAATATTTGATCTTTGTATATAATGTCCAAGCAAGTTAATTTCTTTTCCAACAAGCATCACTCATTCTTTCAATAATGGACCATCGACGTAGGCATCACCCAGTGTATGTCAACGATTTCTTCCGAGCAGAGAATCTACTACATTCATTTCAACAAAACTAGCAACCAGAATTCTTCTGCGAGCCTCTTCACAGCTCGATAAAGGAGAGATTTAACCCATTGATTGGATTTGTCTTCCTAAAATATTTTAGGGGAATTCTCTCTGTGGGGATTTATTTCTAAGAAAGAAAGAAGAAAAATTGCATTTATTTGTGGGAGTCCTGGTTGCAGTAGCAGAGTTAAAAAGACCAAGGTGGTTTAGTAAAACTTCTCAAATGTCACTGAGGAAGTGCACCACCAACTCTTTATCTCTAACTCAAAAGTTGCCGGATTTCCTTGTGCATGTGACAGAGGAAGTCTACATATGAAGCTCCTCCATTGAGGTTCTTGTCTTCCACCAGCAGGCGCTTGAAGAGCATCTCCAACTTGTCATCTTGTTTAACAATCAGCAGCTGACAAGAAATTGAGAGATTCAATTAGCAAAATAATGTTTATATTTATAAATATTTAGAATTAGTGTAATGTACTCAATATGGCAAATGTTAAACTATGTCAATCAGTAAATGATGCAGGTCTCATGGGTTTTTAGTAAAGTCAATAAACGTTTTTGTGTTATACAGTGTGTTGTATCATTGTATACTCGCCATCAATCTAGGCTCATACATGCCATTTTCAAAACAACAAGCTTGGGCATTGGGAAGCAATAGATACATAACCAACAGGAATAATCGTTTTCATACTCTGCTGATTTTGCGTATATCGTTCATGTGTTTGGGAAGAATTTCAACCTTCCAAAATGAGTAAATAAAGTATTTGTTTTTAGAGAGAGAGAGAGAGAGAGAGAGAGAGAGAGAGACTCCAAGAACTTTAACCACTTCTATAAAGGTTATGATGCTAGGAGGTAATAGGTGCAGTCTGTCAGTTTTTTCAAGTGATTTGACTAAACCGGAGTATGCTCCAACACCTAAAGCCCACATCCTTAGCTTGTGGGTCATACTGAGGAAATCCAAGTGTTTGTACAGCAGGAGTATGTAGTGATATAGAAGGATTTGGTTATACTGAATTACCACTGTTTTTTCAAGGTTTAAAAATATTGCCAACTCATTCAGCGCCACTAAACTGACAAGTCAAGGACAATCTGATTGCAATGATTTGGCATGGCCAAAGTCTCTTATACAAAAACGCTAACCTTCCCTCATTGCATATTATACTTCTAAAAGAAAATGTCCTAATTACAATGTATCGTGTTGCAGGATGTGTTTTTGGTACTGGAGAATCCTCAATTTTTTTGGCCAAGAATAGCTTGACAGAAACCTGGAGGAACTGAACTAATATTTCCTAACGTCATCACTACTAGAATATACTGTAGAAGCGTTAATGCGTGATAAGTCCCTTTGCTCATGCCTTACCTTCATGTATCGTGGCCTTTGTGCTCTGAATGTTGTGATAATTGCATGCATTTTTCTAGAAATTGGATTATCGAGATTTGGTAGAGTATTCTGTGGAAAAAAACAACCAATGAAAGCACATTAAAAACAATAATTAGACACACCCCTCATTTCAAGACAGACATCTGTAGCAGTGGAAGTAAATACCACTACTGCAATAACAGATTATGCAGTGCATTCTATTCTTAACTTTTCCCACACTTTACATCCACTCTGCACAACATGTTGCTTCCCCCAGTATCTGCAGCACACGCAGGGTTGTTCACTAATCACTAGATTTTCTACGGATGGTAGATGGAATGGGTTTCCATGGCGGAGCAACTGCATGCAAGTCTCAAATCACCAAGTACAATGCCAAGCGCTGTTGTAAAGCACGTCGCCACTGAACTCTGGAGCAGTGGAAACATGTTCTGTGGTGTGGCGAATCACACGTCTTTGTTTGGAAGTCTGAGGTGCAAGTCTGGGTTTGACGAAGGCCAGGAGAATGTTACCAACCTGACTGCAGTGTGCCAACTGTACAGTTTGGTGGAGCAGGGAAAGTGTTATGGTGCTAATTTGCAGTGGTTGGGCTACACCCCTTACTTCCGGTGAAGGTGAATTTCAATGCTTCAGCATTTCAGACAATACTATGCTTCCAACGTTGTGAGAACAGTTTGGGGAAGACCCCTTTTTATTTCAGCATGACTGTGCCCAGTACAAAAAGCAACATCCATGAAGACAGGGTTGGATGAGATTGGTGTGGAAGAACTTAACTGGAACTTAACCCCATCGAACACCTTTGGAATGAACAGGAAAGGAGATTGCGAGCCAGGCCTTCTTGTCCAACATCAGTATCTGACCTCACAAATGCTCTACTGGATGAATGGGAAAATATTCCTGCAGAAACACTTTAGGGTACCCACCCGCCGCCAGTTTGTAGGGGCCGTTTTTAGTTTAGTCAGTTTGCTTACAAAATCCGGACATTTTAAAATATAGCATGGGTTTTGCAGTGCCATGTGTGCAGACAGATGGTTTTGCCTCATTCGGTATGTGGCAATTTAGAATTTAATTACTAATCCCATCAGTCTTACAGACTACAAATGCCAACTAACACTAAATTTTTCTTGTAACAGACAACCCCTCCTTTTGTCAGCTACAATTGCCACATCCCAACACAAACCTACACCAATACATACACAAATTAAGTCTAACATGCACCTACCAGGTTACAGTCGATCTGGCTGAAAGAGGATACACCAAAGAGGTTCTGGATCAGGGCCTGCTGCACGTTTGCCCCAACCCATACAAACAGGTTCAATCCATTCTCCAGCAAGTACACTTCGCCTTTGGAAAGACGTTCTTCTGATGAACGGATAGCAACGGACAAGGAGTCACTGTCTGGGTCCAATTTGGACTATTTAAACAAGGGAAAAAAATAAATAAGAATCATACATGTATGAGATTGGATTAAACCTAGAGTACATGAAACTTATGTGTTGTATATCTGAAGTAACAGAACTGCAGCTAGAATGAAATACTTACCAATGGCAATAGCCTAGGATAGAAAAAGACATTTGAATCCGCAACATCCATAGATAAGATAAGCTGCCGGATGTAAGCTCGATCATCAACAGACACCTCAGGCCCAGGCTGCAGTACATCACTTTTAAGCACACAGTTCAAATAAACAGGAAGTAGCTTCATGCATTCTGGGAGTATGAGCTGCCACAAAGAATAGAAATATAAGAAACTATTTTCCACAAAGGTTTAAAAGGGAGCAAATGTGTATCTGTTTTTTCTCAACACAGGTGGAAGAATCAGTCAGCAGTCATTTCAAAGGGTGTTTTAAAAGAAGTTCTCTCAGCATGTCTGAATATTAAGCTGTATTGCTGCATAAATATTTAAAATATAAATGTATACACATATATATATTAGGGATCGACCAATATTGATTTTATAGAGTCGATACAAATAATCTGTGAACTTTGAGGCTGATAGCCGGTAACTTACTGATACTCTGTACATTTACCATTTTGAAAAAAAACAATTCTACACAAATCTACTGTTAAATTAACATGTTTATTATGATTTATTTTTTTTGCAAATTTTTGTTTAAGTGGTAAATGCATAAAATATGCATGGCAGTCCGATGTTTTCAAGAATATTTAGTGTTCCTCTCCCTTCCCTGTCCCTTAGTGTAATATATATATATATATATATATATATATATATATATATATTGATGAAAGTCCTATAAAGGGACTGAAACGTCGATCCCATGTTTTAACCTTGCTATTAAAAGAAGATTTTTAGTGAAGACCGTGAGTGCTGCCATTTCTAAAAACTACATACATACAAATATATATATATATATATATATATATATATATATATTTTTTTTTTTTTTTAACATATATAGCGGAGAAGAGGAATTACATAAAATAATTATTCACAAGACGTATTAACCCCTTAAGGACCAATGACGAAAATAAGCATCATAAATAGACTTGGAGATTGTAATGAATTGCAATTCGTACGAATTTTCACCAAATAAGTGATCGTATGAATTCCTGATATTCCGAACCATCATAAAGAATAATCACAAAACAAACATCTTGCTCAATCGGCGACCATGTTTGTTTTGATTCGGGATTCCAAATATGGCGCAAAATATTTTTTAAAAATATGATTGATGTTTAGGGGACAGCCACTAAGTGTTTATTTTATTCACATATCAAGTGAGATTTAGAAGAATTTTTTTTTTTTTAAATAAACAGTAAAATAAACAAACAAAATCTAAATTTTTCTTTGCACTTGATCCAAATGGCAGAAAAATACCCCTATCTGTGTACTGAAAATATATAAATAATAATTTTGTATATATTTTGTAGTAAACTTTCTGTTTGACTAATTTTACTGAATTCATTTTTCAAAAATGTCTTATTTCAAACAATGTGGTTCATCCAAAATAAGTCTAATCATAAACTAACCTTTGAAATTACCTATATAAAAAATGGAATGCCTCACTCATATTTAACAAATACAAGGCTTTAGAGCTGCAAATGCAAAACAAGTAGTACATACTGTTCAGACTGTTATTCTTAAAAGGTTATGAATGAGACCCACTTAAGATGTGTAAAATATATTAATTCATTTAGGCATAAAACTTTCATTTATAGATTTATAAGTTGAGGAAAACTATGTTGCATGAATGGATTTGATGTCCTACAATTCTGGATTCTCTGGCAATTTGTCACAATTCATAGTTGTGTAACTAATCCCCATTGCTTGTACTTATAGTAGTAGTCTAGATCACCCAATAAACCATCAAGGCATCTCTGTAAAAATTTATGACCTGTGTCTGCCCACAGATTCTACACACTTGAAACTTAAATACTTATTTCAAGCTACCAGGAGAAAACGTTAAATGGGTGGTTTGGTGTGGTTACCTGGCCAGCAGATGAAGGGCTTGCACAGTTCTTCCTATAGCAGGCTAATATTTGTGCACACTGATTGATCAGTGTGTCACGGACAGTCTTTGTTGGAGAACTCAGTACTCCACGATAAGCTGCAAAAACAGGTTAGATAGCATTCAATAACAGTAATCTTTTAACCAGTCTACTCAATGCTTAAAAGGGACACTATAGTCACCAGAACAACTACAGTTTATAGCATTTGTTCTGGGGTTTAGAATCATTATCTTCAGGCTTTTTGTAGTAAACACAGTTTTTTCAAAGAAAATGCAGTGTTTACATTACAGCCTAGGGATACCTCCATTGGCCACTCCTCAGAATGCTACTAGAGATGCTTCCTATGGCAGTGCTGCACACTGTGCAGTACTTCCATTCAGTGTATCCTCCCTCTGCATGGAGACACTGAACTTTCCTCATAGAGATGCTGATTGGTCAGGGCTGTATTAGGGTTTTGCTGGCTCCGCCCCTGATCTGTCTCCTTGACAAGCTCAGCCAATCAAATGCTTTCCTATGAGAAAGCATTGTGATTGGCTCAGGTCACCACTTCTGATTATGTCAGCCAAGAATCAGGGACAGAGCCAACAGCAGCAGACTGAAATAAAGGTAAGATTTTACTATATTTAGGGTGGCCAGGGAGGCTAGATGGTGTTTTTAACCTGACCCTATAGTGTTTCCTTTAAATTAAATATACGCACACAATATTCTGTATACAATTACAGGAAACAAATGTTGGTAAAATAATGCTAGAACATCCTGTTTTAGCATCTGCATTTTCTTCATATTTACACTGCAACATCATGAAATCTGCTATCAATTGCAATCCCTTAGATTGGCAGCACACACATGGCCTACAATTTTAATATAACAAGCTTGCCACCCTGTGTGTGAACTATTGCCAGCTGTGGAAACACTGAGAAACTGCTTTACACCATGGGTAATTATAGGAACGCCTTTTGAAACCTAAAGCTGGGGGTCACTAAATATTTACTTAAATATGTATTCAAATATGGATTAGGGTACAAAAGGAAGCATCATATGGAGATCCCCACCCCCCCAAATCCACAGATTTAATAAATTGCACCAATTATTTACAGAAAATAAGTATAGTTATCGTGACCGATAAATCTCCTATTTATAGATCCAGGAATAAACACTTACCAAATTTGGCAAAGTAGTTGATAAGTGTGTCAGTCTCACAGTTTCTGTAGAGATCTGCCAGCTGTGTACAGCAACTCAAGGCCATGTTGTGAATTCTGAGTCTACGCTCACCTCCACAGCTGGTATACAACACAGCACACTAACAGGGAAGAGAAATGTATTGATTTTACACAATAGCTATACAAAATACACAAATAGCTATACAAAATATAGAGCATCATTAAGGTAAATATGGAGTTAGACAAAACACTATTCAAAGCCAAATACTATGAAAGAGATTATTCACCCTAAAAAAACCTGAACTTAAAATCTGTTAACATATTCTACCTGTAGAAGTGCCCCCGTGTCTTCATTTAGTTTATCGTCATGCTTAAACTCCACAGTTACAGTTTTGTCACAATCCAATCCAGCAAGCTCTACATCTGTGGTGTTGCTCATGTAGAAAGCACCGAAGAAGTCTGTTGCACGAATGCCTAAAAGAAAATATTACACTCTCACTTGTTGGGAAGAACAACTTTATTTTCTAAACAGATTATTGTACACTATATTGCTGTGGCAGTTATACACACACCACAATTTGTGAACTCCCATAAAAAGAGGAATGGGTATATGATTATAAGGACACTTGAGAGGCTTGACATTTAGAATTGTCAGACTTTCATTCAACTGGATAGTGAAACTGGTATCAGCTAAGGTCAATGGAACTCTAAAAGACTGAACCATGTCAGTGTTGGTTTGTCTGCCAACGGGAAGTGATTCATGCAAATAGACCCTTGTTGTGATGGAAACATGGAGAAAAAAATTCCTCACAAAAACCTTTTTTAATCAAATCGAACTTTAATTTGTTTACATCATGAACACGTGACTGTTTGAGTGCAATTTCTGAGATTAAAATGAAAGAAATGTGTAGCTCCCTAAAGAAAGTACAAAGTGCACATGGACCTGGGCAAACTAATAAAATCAAACATGTTTGCATTTTAATGTTCATATAACTGTATTCCTAATGGGATTATAGTATCTTGATATGACATCAAATAAAATTCATTAAAGGGACACTCCTGACCCCTATAGCACTTTAATTTGCTGAAAAGGTTTGTGTGAAGAGTGTCCTATTTGTTTATTTTGGAAACAATGCAGATTTCAATAGAAATTGACACTTTTATAAATTAACCCCTTAAGGACGGAGCCAAATGTACACGTTGTGAACGAAACAAAATGTAAACAAAACCTGGCATTTGCGCTACATGTCTGTCCAACCGTAATTCACCTATTTCATAGTAAATGCACCCACCCTTATTATATATCATTTTATTCAGGGGAAACAGGGCTTTCATTTAATATCAAATATTTAGCTATGAAACATAATTTAATATGAAAAAAAGGGAGAAAAGATTTTTTTTGATTTTTTAGTTCTACATGACATTTTAACTGTCAATGTCATAATACTGTTTGCTTTTACTGCAATAAAATACACATATTTGTATTCAGCAAAGTCTCACGTGTAAAACAGTACCCCCGATGTACAGGTTTTATGGCGTTTTGGGAAGTTACAGGGTCAAATATAGCATGTTACATTTGAAATTGAAATTCGCCAGATTGGTTACGTTGCCTTTGGGACTTTATAGTAGCCAGGAATAAAATTTACACCCATAATGGCATACCATTTGCAATAGTAGACAACCCAAGGTATTGCAAATGGGGCATGTCCAGTCTTTTTTAGTAGCCATTTGGTCACAAACACTGGCCAAAGTTAGCGTTAGTATCTGTTTGTGTGAAAAATTAAAAAAAACGCCATTTTTGGCCAGTGTTTGTGACTAAGTGGCTACTAAAAAAGACTGGACATACCCCGTTTGCAATACCTTGGGTTGTCTACTATTGCAAATGGTATGCCATCATAGGGGTAATTTTCATTCTCGCGCTACCATAGGGTCTCAAAGGCACCGTAACCAATCTGGCAAATTTTAATGTGAAAAAAATGAAACGCAAGCCTTATATTTGACGCTGTAACTTTTGAAAACACCATAAAACCTGTACATGAGGGGTACTGTTGTACTCGGGAGACTTCGCTGAAAACAAATATACAGGTTTTATGGTGTCTTGGAAAGTTATAGGGTTAAATATAGTGCTATCAAATTAAATTCCCTTTACTTTCGGCATGAGTTGTCAGGCAGGTCCCGCTAATTGTAATTAATTAAGATACCTAATTATGGCGACCGGATAAGTTAACAAAAACCGGAGGGCGTACAAATACGCAAGGCGGCGTTTAGAGCCGCCTAAAATAGGGCTTAATTGTACGTCCTCCGGTCTAAAGGGGGTTAAACTGGTTACATCCCTCTGGCTTTTCAAGTAGACAACAGCTTGTTACTTCCTGGTTTGGTTAGCATATCTACACTGAACTCACGAGGCAGCAATTGTTCAGAGCACCTGCCTTGCAAAGACTTCTCATTGAGCTGCATTGGGGAAGTCTGTGATTGGACAGTCAAAGAAAGTCTGGACGGTTTAGAAGGGGAGGGGGGCTTGCAAAGGCAGCATATGTAAGAGAGCTGCAGTTTTTTTAGATGAAAAATTTATGATTAAATAAATGCAAGTTTTAATTTATTTTGTATTTGGGCAGTGGAGTGTCCTTTTAATAAAACACAGGGTGTTTCATTTGATCACACTGCTATGTTCAACTTGATTATCTCTGTAAAATGTTAAGACTGAGTCTTTAGTAGAGATATAGAATTTCCAGAAATTCCATAGGGGAGGTACTGCATCAAATCAGAACATTAGTAAGAATCAAGCCATTTAAGTTACGAAGATAAACTAATGGAGTTAAAATATGGTTACATTTTCAGAACTTAGAGGAATTTGCTGCTTACCTTTCAATTAATGCCTAAGAGGACAGAAAAACTCAAGCAACTATACTAACAAGGTGGAGCCCACAAGCAAAACAAAAACCGTTTCCCCTGCAGTTCACCTACAGACAGAAATGCAGATTTGTCTTATTTGAGAATTGTACCCTCAGTATTTGAATTGTATTCCAGGATTTACATTGAGACTTTCATAGAAATCTTCATTGTGTTTAGATTGCAGAAATGTTGGAGGTTAAAATGTATAAACACCATAAATCATTGTAAAATTACTTATTGCATACTCAATTTAAAGGGACAGTATGATCACCAGAACAACTACAGCTTAATGTAGTTGTTCTGGTGTCTGTACCTAAAGGCATTTCAGAGAAAAGGCAGTGTTTATTGCCACTAGGGTTTCCTCCACTCAGCCTTCCCACGTCAAGTCTTTACTGTTATTTTACTACATAGGGCAAAACTATGGAAGTAGAAAAAAAAAACAGAACAATCTGGCAACAGATTATTGTACCAATGTAAACATTAAAATGCAATACATTTTATACAAAATATTGATGTCACATTCCCTTTAAAATCATAACTTACCAGTGCTGGTTCTAACTCTCATGACTGCATCAAACCCAATTTCTTTTTGCACATCCCTGCGCAGGTCGTTTAAGAATCGCTCCTTATCAGTTTCAGGCTGTAGATGGAATTGAAAATAAAAGTTGACTAGGATGAATTAAAATATACAATATGATAAATAATTCCACTGAAAATATTGTTGACACTCATTTCAGAACCGGTATAGCAGCTTAATAAGAAAGTGTGACCATAAAATCCCCGCTAACTCCAGATCTCACACCAGCATTTACCATAAAACCTAAGCTTTTCAGAAACATGAATGGAAGCATTCCACTGTTGTACTGCAAACGTGCAAAATAAAAATGCCAAGCGTGCACTTTAATGAGCACTGAATCCTATATACACTGCTGCCACTGTAAAACAAAAAGGGATGTCACCAAATCAGAAAAATGTAAAGGTTGGAGGGTACCAAAAAAAATAAAAATAAAAAATTGACTTTTGTATATTTAAATTCTTATTTCAAAATGTATAAAACTTCTTTGACAATCTTTTCCCTGAGCTCAGCAGAGACAAAAATGTATGTAGGGAGAACCAAACAACCCCTAAATACATATATCTTAGAACATTAGAAACATTAAGAAAGGATACGAAAAACATAATGTGTCTTCATTTTAAATTACATCACAAGTATAATCCACATGACTTTTCACGCTCTACAAACTGTTTTTACTATTTGGAGAGGAGGAGATATGGCAAACAATTTGGGACAGGCAGAAATGAAGTGGATTTTTAATTTAAATACATTGAGTCCATGTGGACACAAACACCACAAGCTATGTGGCCTTTTGTACTCTGTTGCAGTTTTGCATATTTTCTCAGCTTCTTTTATATGTATAGGAGAACATATTACCCCCCCATTTGTATATACGGGTAAGTTGACTTATTTATAAGCGCTGCAATCGCACTTTGATGTTTTTTGGTTGGTGGTTTATCACCTAAACATTGCGGTATTTGTTTCAGCTGAAACTATACTGCACCAATTTAATAAGTTTATTTCACTTCACTTTTTCGTCATTTGATTTATTGTGTCACTATAAGTTTCCATCGTATTAACTCAATAACTATTTCTCATCAACACATGTGACTTTCCTTAAATATTTCATACATACACATATATATCCATATTCATAACGCGTATATCAATTTGGTTACTTTTTTTAATGAAGTCAACGTCTAGTATTGAAAAATAAATAAACAATGTTTAATATTTAGACACTCACCTGGAAAAATGCATATTTGTAGACTGAGCCTCCAGTCTGGTAAGGCACCACACCAAGTGTGGCAACATCTAGAAACTGATTGGGAAACAAGAACAAGTCCACACAGCACCCTTGGGCCACGCACTCCTGAGCCAAAGAATTGTAGAAATTTGTCTGAGGCTGGAATAATGTCTGTGAGAATGGAGACATGTCATTGAGTGGATTTATTTAAAAGAAAACATAGGCCCTCTAAAGGTTACTTCTAAGGCACCGTGATAAAAATCCAGTTAGCAACAAGCATGAATGCCTATAGCAGTACATAAAAAAGGCTTACAATTTCAAATACATTTATTTACACAGCAGCATTTTGTAGGGAACCGATCCACTACCTCTGAACCTCACGCAAGGCAGGACAACACTTCTCAGTTAATCAATACCTCTTCTTCTATGGATGAATAAGTGAGCATGCACACACTAACTCATACTTGACAAATTCTTATAGTGGTCACTGTAGAGCTGATATCACATACAGGTCGCAGCCAAACAAAATCTCATTATTTGTAAGAAATTAATAAGAACTACTTGGATATTTAGTGGAAGCTGGTCAAGTGTACAACCGTTTCCAATTCAGTTTTCTTTTTCAAAGAAAATTGTGCATGATCAACAATATAGATTCCAGATAATTTGTTAGTATTACCCAGCTCAATGACATTAAAGTTGACTGCACGGTAATCTTCTTGACCGTTGTGCAGGTTCTTAGATTGCCCTTTAACAAAAATAATGTCCCTCTCCTACATACATTTCCTAGATTTTGTTATAAACTGATGAAATCAAAGATCAACAATAAATGAAATACACGTGGTTTGGTTCTATATATTAATCTAAAACAATATAAAGAAGGAAAAAAAAAAAGTCTTATCGATAGGTATATAGTAGATATTTATTGATAAGTAAACAGTACATGTAATTTATCATTTGTGCTTCTTACCTTTTCCTTGTCTGTATTAACTAGCTTTTTGTCATCTCTATTCTTAAGTTTTCCTGGGGCTTCAGCAATGGGAAGAGTGGTGTGAAAAACAAAGAGCTTTCCTGCACAATCTGCTGCCTACGAAAACACACGTTGCAAAAGTCATCAACTAAGCAAAGCTCGAAAAAGAAAGTTCCATACACTGCTTATATCGCAACTTACCTTTAATGCTTCCAAACCGGCTTGTACAACGGGGGCAAACACAGTCTCTGTTTCTCTCGTATCAGCAAACAGTTCAGGAATTTGGTCAAGCAAACTGTACAAAGCACAAAATAGTCAGTGTTCATTCTATCCATTCTGCTTTGTAGTACTAGGGTTTTGTTTCTCTCACATAAAGATGTGTGTGCATTATTTATAATATATATATATATACATATATATATATATATATATATATATATATATATAGACATAAGATGAAAGAGTAGAACAAAGATTTAAATAGATTATAAAAATTTTAATGTCACTTTTCCTTTAAAGTGCTGAAGTCAACCAACAACATAGACCGGAGACACATTTCATATGCAAAGTTGATAAGAAATGTACCTTAAGATAACCGTTCTAGACTCATTCACATTCACAAGAAATCCATCCAGAAGGGGAACAAACATGTCTGCCACATCTGACACAACCATCATCTGTGGCTGGGCCAGGGAGCTCTTTACATTATAGAAGTGGAGCACTTTATTATAAGTCACGAATCCCACCCGGACCACAGACTCTTCCATGTTTCCTTCCCTGTGGAAAAACAAAAGAAGGGTTGAATCGACTCAGGTCCAACATTAAACCCATTTCAGATTGTATCATAATATAATTTGAAAAAATGTTCACCTGATATGGAGACGAGTGAATTCAAAATGTTATTTGAAATGTGCAAATATTTTACAAAATATCATTATAATAAATGATCTATTTTTGCTTAGGGTAGGGTAGCTTTGCTCCCTATTTTTATGAATGGGGAGCTACTGATTGGTTCAAGTGGTCAGTTGATGCTCTAAGCCAATCAGTGGTGCCCCTAGCCGGCAGCACTCCGCTCTTCCAGAATCTCAGTTGTAGAAGCTGGATGCCGCAGGGGAAAGGGAGATCCGGCGCTGAAAACCAACCTTTGGGGTTGGGGTTCACCCTGGTACCACATCATCTCAATTAAGTTGTTATGGTGTACAAACTATTCTTGGGGGGTATATATATATATATATATATATATATATATAAATAAAATATATAGATAAATAGAGAGACCTCTAGTTGGGTAACTTTATGGTTTATGCCAGAGTGTATAATTAAAAAAAAAAAAAAAAACCCACAGCAGCTTATTTTAGAACAGATACACTACTCACGCTCACCTGGGAAGGTAGTCAATAAGTTGCTTGAGCTCCTCACAGACCAGGGCAACCAACCCACTCTTCACAGCATTGTAAGACACATCAATCATGAAGATGAAGGCCGGAGGGTTTGGAAACTTGTTATTCTGACAATAAAATAAAAAGACAGATACCATCAACTTTAACACAAGTAATTAGACAAATGTGCAGTATATTGAGGCATACAGTAAATTCCACCAAAAACTGAACTTCCCTGTTAGCATTTAAAATATGTTTTCATATATTTCATGTTAGTACCCTTATTTGTTTTAGCACACAAAAATATTTACATGTTCTAATAGATTTAAATCATCTCATGCATTTTAAATAAATAAGTAAATGGGTATTCTGTAGCATGCAATATATTGTAACACACTTTAAGAAAACAAGAGATTCATGTCTAACGTCAATATGGGGAAAAATCAAAACAAAGCCGCAAAATAATGTCATAAATGTGTCATTGTAGATATGTTACAATTCCTTATGCTTGCGGTTCCCAATACATAGGTATAAACACTAAATAACGTAATACGAGTTATATGAAATACAGCACATCAGCCAATTTCTCAAATTTCACAGATTTGCAGAGAAAACGTTCAACTGCAATGGGGAGGAAGGAATGAATGTAAAATATTTAGTTGATAAAGAAACCAGGATTATGAACTTAAATTCTATTTTGGGATTTTGAAGTGAAAGTTTTAAAGTTTTTTTATGAGCTATATGTATTGTGCAACAAGTATAAGTATGATTATGTTTAGTATGTATGTTGTCTGTACAGCATGTTTGACAGTAATTACATTTTGGCCATAAATCTACTATAAAAGTGGAAATATAGTCTGAAGCTCATAAAATATCCATAGTGTTTACTAGTGTAATGCAAAGTAGTGGATATTCCAATAGTTTCATATGTAGCTTCTTCTTAAGAACATGCTAGTTAACACTACACCTTGGTATAATATTGAGACTGAACTGCACTGCTCCATATACTGTATAACAGTTGCATTGGACCTACAAAGAGTGTGGTTTTAAATATTTAGACCGTTTCTTGAATTTGGAATTTATTCTATAAGCACATTATGGCAAACACAGTATTATTCAGGACTTTGTTTCTTTCACTTTATTCATATGGAGGACATCAAATTACTTTTGTAGAATTGCAAGAAGATCCAGAGATCATATACAAGTTGTATGAAAAATGTCAAACTTGAGCAATGGAATGTTTTATGAAAAGCATTTATTTTATGTTGCTATAATAAACAGGATGAAGTTGAAAGCCATTTTACCTTACAGTAGTCAACTGTTGCTACAAATTCATACGACCCCATAGACAGCTCTGGTCTGTCATAGGAGTCCACTCTCTTCCCTGTGTGATCCAAGTGCTGGAAGTAATGTGGAGGAACTAGATAGATTAAAAAAAAAAAAAAAGTAAAAGTCAGTATAACAAAACCAACCCCCCCCCAAAAAAAAATTAGGCAACTCTGCGGTCTACATTCACTGGAATTATCTATAAAAAACGCTGTTTCATAGGCTGAGGGCTTTCAATGTTTTGCAGGAAAATAAACCGCAGAACTATTTTTGAATATTTTTTTTCCTTCTACAAAAATACAAAAAATTAGGTCTTCATATTCAGATATCATTGGCCCAGATAGCTTAAAGGAACACTATAGTCACCAAAACAACTAGAGCTTATTGTATTTGTTCTGGTGAGTATAATCATTTTCTTCAAGCCTTTTACAGTAAACACTGTCTTTTCAGAGATAATGCAGTGTTTACATTACAGCCTAGGGATACCTCCACTGACCACTCCTCAGATGGCTACTAGAGGTGCTTCCTGGGGCAGTACTGCCCACTGTGCTGTACTGCCATTCAGTGTCTCTGCATGCAGACACTGAACTTTCCTCCTAGAGATGTACTGATTCAATGCATTTCTATGAGGAGATGCTAATTGGCCAGGGCTGTGTTTGACTTTTGCTGGCTCTGCCCCTGATCTGCATCCTTGACAGTCTCAGCCAATCCTATGGGGAAGCATTGTTATTGGCTCACAGAATCACTTCTGATGATGTCAGCAGACAGAAGGCTGATCAAATGCAAAGCAGGCAGCTGCAGACTGTAATAAAAGTAAGATTTTACTATATTTAGGGAAATAAAGGTGGCCCATGGGGGCTAGATAGTGGTTTTAACACTAAAAAGTCAGGAATGCATGTTTGAGTTCCTTGCCCTAAAGTGTTCCTATAAGCAACTAATCTGTAACTGCTTGCAAGTATTTGTAAAACGTTACGTTGAAAAGAAGAGAATATTTCAAACTTTTACCATCTGTGACACAACTGCAGAAGCAGCACTGGAATCTTCGGCCTCCCTCAATGAACTGCATAAAAGGGCACATATAGGCCTTGCATCTGTTGCAACGAACAGGCCCTGTCTCTCCATGATCGACCACACAGGGGGGAGCCTTTAAGAATTAATAGAAAGTCAGCTTTCAATCAGACATTGGCATATATAATCTCTAGCATACACATAGAGGAATATGTTAATGTTAAAACTAATTTTTTTTTTTTATACACTTATTGTCAATGTTCCTTTTTTGTTAACATCACTGCCCAAGTGCAATTATTAAAAAAAAAAAAAGCCTGCTTTTCAGGTGAAGTCATCAGTTGTGATTACGTTTATCCAATGTAAAGAAGCATTTGATGTTTTCAGCTTCATCTTGCTGTGCTTGAAGATGCCGAATGTGAAGACCTTTGAAATTCCAAGGTCGTACGACAGAAGTGTCACTAGTGCCTGTCTGACAGGTGTGACAAATGCAAACAATGCTCTGAGAAACTGCAATGTTTAAAATTGTCCAAGTAAGGCAGTGGTTTCCAAACCAGTCCTCAAGGCATGCCTACAAGTCCAGGATTTATTTCTCTCTGAAAAACACCTTAAACACAACTGAGTAATGCCTAAATCCTGGGCTGATAGGCATGCCTTGAGGACTGGTTTGGAAACTAATGAAGTAAAGGGGCAGCATCAATGCATGCATCAAATCCAGTACATTAAGATGTACTAGTTTTGGTGGTTAAAGTGTCCCTTTAAGTAAAGTAAACAAGGTGGACAGGATCCCATTATAAGCAGCGAGTCTATGATGGGCATTTAACATTATCATTGCTGTGCCTTTTTCATAGTTTACTCATGCTGAGTTGGATACAAGGAGAATAGCTACAGATGCTTATAAACATTATTAGTCATTTCTCAACAAGTACCACTAATAATGACAAGTAGCTGCAGCACACACAAAGTGTGTGTGTAGTTATTACAGACGCGATCAGTTAGTATAACGATCGATGCAGATTTGAGAATATGCTAGATAATTACATTATTTTGCGTAATACCATTTTATTAATTTCGTAAACTAAAGCTGTTTAGCAAGTTTAGAACAGGATATTCTCTTGCAATCAGCAATAATTTTTGCCACTTCCCATCAACAACATTCAGATATTAGGGATCTTACAAGCAAATCCGAACATAATACCAAGATGTGTAATGCTGTTGTGTAAAAACGTACTTCTTCCACGGAGTCTATTCAACATAAAATGTACACCATAAGAAACAATATGGTAATTTTCTTCCTTCTATCGGCTACCTTTTGATACATATAACACGGTTTCCAGGCATCAAATTCTGATTAGGTAACAAACTATCAAAATATGATACCGAATTCTTAAACATTTAGTATTAGATCAATTTATATAACACCGTTGACACATGTACACTGAGCAGCTGAGTATCCAACTCGATTTTATCCTCCAAGTGTCAAAGCATAGCTCCACAGAGTCTCAGATTACCCCAACAGCTGAATGAATTAATGGCCACCCGCTCTACCCAGCCGTAATTCAGTCCAGAAAGATTTAAAGAAAATATATAACACAGTACTAAGGATTCACTTAAAATATTGGTGTAGTGAACAGAAAATGCAACAGTCTGACGAGAGAATACGATGCAAAAATGGAAAGTGTCAGTCAAGTAGTAAAGTACAGGTTAGATCTTTAAAAACAAAGAAATATTAAAACATAAATAACTTAAACACTAGAAAAAAAAATCATTATGTTCTTACTACAGTAAATAATTTTAACAAATGAAAACATTCAGCGATATACCATTACCTCTTCAGATGGTAATGTTGCCAAAGGTTTAATAACTGCAGCCAGAGGAACCTGAGACTGCTTTGCCATGTCCGAACTGGCAGGGAAATTGTAGGATGTGCATCGTATGTAGCGTGGACTTGCATTGCCTGTTATAAGTAGAGAAGGTTGCAATTAACTAAATAAAATGAAAAAAATTGTAGCCAAAAGCAACTGCAGCAGTTAATCTGTACTTATGAATGAAATACATTGAAATAATGCAGCTATCCATTTACAACTCTAGCATAAAATAAAGGAAATAAAAAAATAAATATATATATATATATATATATATATATATATATATATATATATATATATATATATATATATATATATATATATATATATATATCTGCATGTTCTCATTATAACAGAAAAAATTTAAACATACCTTGATCTCGGACTACAAAGTTAGTGGTTACGAGTGGTGGAACTTGCCCCCTGAGGCCAGTGACAAAAGGCTCAGAACTTCTGTTAGCCCGATCATCTTCTATGACTTGAATCTACAACACAGGAGAAAGGTAATATAGAATATGTTGCACAAAATAAAGTCAAGGCCTAAATGTTTAGGAAGCTCTTACAAATGTCTAAACGGCAAATGTGTATATAGAGGAGGCTTCTAAGCTGGTGTTTCTAGAAGTTAGACGCCCTGAATTTCACTATGCTCTGAAAATATCACTGATCATACAACGTAAAAAGTTTTTACTTGTATAATGTGCGAAAGGAAATGATTGATGCAGAAAAGACACGGAGATGTGCTACTTCACTAAAATAAAGGTATGCTTTCTGTCAATCCGTATGGTCCATTCTACGAAGATTTCAGAAGGAGTTCAAACAGAACAAAAAGGATTTCATACACATGGGAAAGTGGCAAGTTACCACCTGCAAATAAAAACGTATTACAGATAAAGACATGTTTGAATATACATGCAAACTGTAAAAATGGATTCCGGTAAAGGTCTTTTGGCCAGTGGAGCAGGCCTAACAGTTAATCACCATGTTTGTACAAAACAGAAGATTCAGGTCTCCGTGTCTTGCACACTGTACAATGTTCTCTCTTTGCTGCAAGCCAGGATACAAGGGCAGGTCACTGAATTCTTGCAAACAGATTTGCAACATTAAAAACTTGGATTCAAAATTGACCAAAGCAGCAAAGATGACACATTGTGTAGCACTGACCCAGGAAGCACCTCTAATGACTGTCTAAGGAGTGACCACTAGATCTGTTACTATGGAGCAACGTAAACATTGCTTTTTGAGTGTTTACAGCAAAAGGACCAACTATAATCACCAGAACTACAATAAGCTTTAGTTGTTTTGGTGACAATAGTGTCCCTTTCAATAGCAGAAAAAAAAGAAAAAGAAAAGTCCAATCCACAGGCAGGCACCTATGGCTAGGGCCTTTCTGGCTTCGCTATGATCAATGAGCATCAGGAGACTTGTAGCTCAACAAAGGCTTAAAAGCTACCAGCTTATTAACCAGCATTAAATATAAACTTGCAGTACTATTATAAAAATAATTTGTTTAGTACTTTCCCCCACTCTTTGTAGTCTTAAAGGAACACTCCAAGCAGCAGAATCACTATTACCTGCTGTAGTGGCCCCACTCAAATCAAACTGTTTAAGAATGATTTCACAACATACCTGGGGGATCCTTTTGGCTTCAGACCTGCTTCCAGATTCTCTAACATTGAGAATCTAACTAGCTTCAGGGAGCTAAGCAGAGCTGTTCTTATAAGGAGAGACATCTGGTTGCCATGTGGGCCAGGTAAAATTTTTTTAACTTTATTAAAAGGATTTAGCCACTTACATTGGGAGGGTGCCAGGGACCCACAGGACCATAACCACTACAGAGGGCTGCAGTGGTTATGGTGCTTAAAGTGTTCCTTTAATATAAATGTATTTTATGATATAGTAGGTTTTCTGATAGCAAGCTTCTGATAGCTTTGCCAACAGAAAACAAGTATTCTGTAGCATTAAGTTGTAACACTTCTTAACATTTAAAGGGACACTCCATTGCTCAAATACAAATTAGGGGAATATCTAAAAGCAGCTTGCAAAATCTGCAGTCTTTACAAACACTCCCCTACCAACCCAGCCCAGACTTTCTGTAGCTGTCCAATCACAGATTTCCCAATGCAGGTCAATGAGATGCTCGGACAATTGATGCCTCCACTGAGCTAAGCAAAATAGGAAGTAACAGGACTGATTGCTTGTAAGCCATGAGTTGTAACCAGATTAATTCTTTTTTTTTTTAATTGCTTTAGGGGTCTGGATTGCCCCTTCAAGGTACCTTTAACAATAATCCAAACAATATTTAATAATCACTCTATACTGTATACTAATATACTTCATAAGCAATAAATTAAACCTTACTGTATGCATAAAAATCCATGGTATTCATCAGCATATACTGATCTTTAATACGTAAAGGAACATTTTAAAAAGATAAACTTTATTCTGTGATCATATAATGAAACATACATTGTGGCCTCAAATACAGGCTAGCGCTCCACAAAGCCCTTTACCAATATTACATTTTAAAATTAAACAGAAAGGGACAATTTCCTTTTAATAAATAAAATTACAATCCATCAAGGTACCCAGGTCAATAATTCACTGGTAGGTATTTGGTGGTGAAGAGGTTAAAGCAGATGTGTTTGGGAATCAAACAAACAAATCCACAACAGACTAGAGGAAAGTGCTTGTTTAGTGTGCTAAACCAGAGTTTCTCAACCTTCGTCAGCATAAATACAACTGGTAACAGACTCAGCTAAGCACATCCCGTATAAATTTACTCAGCATGTAGCTTTATTAGCTACAATTTCCTATTGAATTAAATCAACTACAGTTACCCCGTGCACCACAGGTTGAGGAACCCTGAAATATAGGAATGAGGGATAAGTGAGAAAGTAACACCAAACTAATGTAAAAAGTTTTAAATATCAAAGTCAGCTTGTCATCATAAAACAAACTGGCATGATACAGGATGGCTATGGCGTTAATTACAACATATTTGATAAATCATTTAAATTATTTATTTTTTATTATTATTTTTTAAATATAGTTGTGTATCTTAAATTCAGCTTGCATAAATAAAAATAAAATCATGCAAATGAAAGAGTTCCTCCCGGCACCATGACCATTTCTTTGGTTTAAAGTGGATATGGTGCCTGGACTCTGTATGCGCAGCACTTCAATATCAAACACTGCACATACGGATATATCTACTACATACGGTAGTAGAGTGTTGCACACTGGTATATTTTACCACTGGAGCTCTGTGGTCCGCTAATCTCCAAAGCACATCCAAAAGTGAAGAGATGTAGGCTGCACAGCATAGGGTGAATAATCAAAATGGGTTTATTGTGGTACAAAGGAAAAAACAGAGAACCCCCCCTACTACCAAAAACTTGAACCCAGCTGTTGAAAACATTGCTATGTTGCGGTGTTACAGGAAAGGCAATGTTTTCATTGCTGGGTTAACCTACCTCTAGTAGCGGTCATACTGACAGCCACGAGAGGAGTTTCCATGTAATCAGGTGGTCTATCACACTGTGGGAGTGTTGTCAACTAAACACGGAATATGGCACTATGGCATACACATTTGTGTATGAAATCAAATTTGAGTTTAAAATGACACACACACACACAAAAATAAAAAAATAAGGAAAGTTGGAAGTCATTCTGACCTGCATGGGTGATTTCACCACGTTTACTGTAATAGCAGCTAATTATGCTGAGCGAACACAAACTAGAAATGACCAACTTTTATAAAAAGTATCTTAGCAATAGAATGTTCACAGCAGCACTGGTTGAATATAGATAACTGGATAGTGAAAATATGCTATAGTTAATGCCAATTCTAAAGAAAGTTTAGAGCTCTGTCCTGGTAGACTATTGCTGCTGCGTAAACATAGTGTCAACCCAGATGGTACTGACTTAACATACACGTGTGAAGGAATGGAGAAATTAGTAGTGGGAAAAGGGCTGCATGCGTTAATAATTAGGTGTTTACATGCACAAGACAGCATGAAAGGGGTTCACTATCAATCACGAGACAAGGGAAAGACAGACACGAGCCACTTACTGGACTAGGAATTGCATCTGGGTCTATTCTGTGTCTTGATTTCTGCTGGGGTTGCAGTTCATTAAGTTGCTTTAGTATTTATAAAGAAGAGAATAAACGATGCCACAAAATAGCAAAGAGAAAGAAGATTAAAGTATAACAAAACAAACAAGAGGTAATATTGTTATTTCCAGTAGCAGTAACTGTTCAAATTGTGGTCAATTTGAGTACATCGTTGGCCAGTCATGCAACATGTTAATTGCACAGCTACACAATGTGTATTTTGTATATGTAGTGACCTAAAATCACCAAGGGTCTGTTCTCTAAAGGTTGAACTGCAATTAGCCTCTGAACAACGTGCACAATATAACAAAAATACCAAAGAAATGTGCAACTTCAATAAACACAAACTTAAAGTTGCACGCTAAGCAACTACCACAACAGCAGCCCACCCCACCAGCACTAGGAAAGAGGGATTAACACTTCTGTATTATCATTTAAATTCTGTCCTACCAGGATGGTACTGATTCACCGAGTGCATTTGGATAACCTGTCTTCACGCTGGATTTACCCTGTTACCTCCCTCCTCAAACTCCACTACCCTTCAATATACACATTTACAAAATGTTTAGTGTATGTGATTGGATGGTTGAATGGAACTAGCTTTGGGGTATGTGACTGGATAAGTAAATAGGACTAGTCTGGTGTATGATTGGATAGTGCATGTGATTAAGTGGGTTGTTGGATGATAATTGGGACAGGGCTGAACAAAGGTGTGTGTATGTTTGTGGAGGCTGCTTGTGATGTTCCATCACTTGCTTGTGTGAGGATAGGCTACTTGTGGTGTGGCTTATTTCTAAGGAGGGTACTTGTGGGGTTGTGTATATTGGGGAAGGTTGCATTTCTGAGAGGGAGGCTTTTGTAAGATTTTAGGTGTATGGATGGGGCGATTTCTAGTGTAATGTGTGTACATCTGAATAACTCCTGTGTTTGGAAAGAGGCAGTAGTGAGTGTTAGGGGTAAAAGGGACTATACGGTATGTTAGGGAATGGGGCTGTAGTGTGTGGTTTTTTTTTTGGGGGGGGGGGGGGAGCTGGTTCCCAGCAGTGGCATTGCTGCATTACAGCCTACAGCTCCCAGCATGCTGTGACGTGGACGCTGGTGACAGTGAGATAGTATACTATGAGGGTGGAACAGGAAGTTTGTGGGGTGCAGACTGGTGTTTTGAGAAATTATTTTTCTATATGGAACGGTGTTCCAAGCGGAAACAGAACTTCTTACAACACCAGCAACCACTGGTGAGGGAGGTCTTTCCACCAGAAGTGTTGCTCCTCTCCTGCCTGCCTGCCTCCCTGAGGCCATGGCCTTGATGGCCTAATGGCAAATCCGGCCCTGCCAGTCTCCCATTCACCTGATCGATCATTGACTCTCAGTTTGGATAATACCTACGTTTTAAATATGCATGATCAATGTGGTCTCTGGGTGCTGGGGAGAGCCTTAGTTTATGTTAAACTCTTCCTGACATTAAACTGAGGGACGTAACCAGACACAACAGGCAATATAACCATTACACATGGATGTGGTGTTCATACTGCTCAGAGCATCCCTTTAAAATCAAGTCACATAGAAAGTTACTAGAACTGCAATTAAATTAATTGCAACCATGATATTTAGATAGCTTCACTCTGCTGCCCATTGTCGTGAGCCTCTGACTGCAAAAACAAGTACTGTGACAGACTTTGGAAGATAAAAGAATATTTTACATATTCCCTACCCCCCCCCCCCCTCCCAAAAAAAAAAAAAACACCAAGTCACAACAAATATATTAATATAGCATTAAGGTCTGTAGTTCCCGAACCTCCAGATAAATATTGCATTACTCTACAAGAGTGAGAATTCCACGGTGCTATATCTGACTTGTAGTATATTGGACCATTGGATTTGGCAGCTCTTGGCTACCCATTTTAAAAAGCCACCATTTTAAAGGCCAATGAACAAAGGAAAGAATAGAGGCTATCTACATGCCTCCTGTCACATTTATATAAAAACTCAAGTTCTGCGGAATTTGTTGGCGCTATATAAATAATAATCATTAACTATCATCATCATCTGAAAGTTCCTCCTGGATATTAGTAAACCGGTAAAATTATTCTCGCCCAACAACGAGTGGCTTTGCTCTCTAGACGAACACATTACAATCATCGCATCTCTGACGACCACTCAATTTTCTATAGCCTTTCAACTCTTGCCCCCCTCAACCGTAGAGTTTAGTGAACAGACCCATAAATAAGTTAAATAAATATAGAACAGACCACTGAAATATAAAAAATGCAACACAAAACATTTAACATATTGGCATTCTAGCGACACATACAAAAAAAAAAAAAAAAAAACACACTTAAAAAAATCCCCAAGTACCCCAAAACAACCTGTTTACCAAACATACACTGATCAGCACACAACATTAAAACCAGTGACAGGTGAAGTGAATAACATTTATTATATCATTACAATGGCACCTGTCAAGGGGTTGGATTTACTAGGCAGCAAGTGAACAGTCAGTTTTTGAATTTCACGGGCTGGACGAATGAAAAATTGGCAAGCAAAAAGATCTGAGTGACTTTGACAGGGGCTAAATAGTGTTAGCTAGACAAGTTAGATCATCTTCACAGCAAGTCTTGTGGCGTGTTTCCGGTATGCAGGGTCTAGTATCTACCAAAACTGGTGCAAGAAAGGACAACCAGGCTCACTGATGCACATGGAAAGTGAAGGCTAGCCCGTCTTGTCCGATCACACAGAAGAGCAACTGTAGCTCAAATTTCCGGAAATTGTAATGCTGGCCATTGTAGAAAGGTTCAGAACACAGTGCATTGCAATTTACTGCGTAGCCGCAGAACAGTCAGAGTGCCCATGGAGCAACGGAAGAAGGCTGCCTGTTTTGATGAATCATATTTTCTTTTGGATCAGATGGATGGCCGGGTGCATGTGCATCGTTTACCTTAGGGAGAATGGCAACAGGATGCACTAGGGGAAGAAGGCGGGCCAGCGGTGACAGTGTTATGCTTTGCACAATGCTCTGCAGGTATTCATGTGGATGTTACTTTGAAATGTACTACCTACCTAGAGACTGTTGCCAACCATACACCCCTTCATCGCAATGATGTTCCCTGATGGCAGTGGTCTCCTCAACAGGATAATGCACCCTGCCACACTGCAAAAATTGTTCAGGAACGGTTTGAGTAAAAAGGCAAAAAGTTCAAGGTGTTGCCTTGGCCTCCAAATTTCCCAGATCTTGGTCCGATTACGCATATGTGAGATGTGCTGGAACAACAAATCCGATCCATGGAGGCCCTACCTGACAACTTGGAGTACTTAAAGGATTTTCTGCTAATGTCTTGGTGCTAGATACCACAAGACACGTTCAGTGGCCTAAATGCATCAGAGCTGCTTTATATTAGTCAGGTGGTTTTATCGTTGTTGCTGATGTGAGTGTGACCTAATCTTTTTCTACTACTAACCATTGTGCAATTAGAACCAACTCAATATATTCTATTTGTAGGCCCTAATCCCAAAAGTATAATCCCCTGAATCACAAATGTGTTTCCTTCATACAAGAGGAAAAAAATAATACACTAGATGTACAATAATGTTACTTTAGCAGCTGTAAACTATTAGCTACTTGCACAAAGCAGATCTTGCAGGCTATACCCAATTAAAAGTGCAAGACAGTATTGCCAAGTAATGTTATGACAAGCACCAAAACGAAATACAATCATCACAATTTTAAGCAAGGGTACATTACAGGAATCCCTTTCAGGCAATCATACTTTACATATACTAAGATTAGTAACTACCGAAGGTGAATGCCAATGTGAGGCTAGAGAGATTGTAAATTAAAGGTTCATAATGAAACACATATGTATCAATATCTTATTGCAGTTATACAGATGCCCAGTTAGGACGTACCAAACAATGTGTGTAATTTTTTGGCTTCAGCTTTCAATATATCCATTGACTAAATGACAAATCACAACTATGAAAATCTCTACTTTAAATTGCACATCTTGGATTACAAATAAATCAGAGCACATAACTAAATAGAATAATCACATTCTCTAATAGGCATTAGTTGGTATTGCCAAAGTATGTATGTAGAACTTCCTCATTTTAGTAATGCGTCTTTAATACTTAATCAGACACAGAGGGGTCTACTGGGCTCAGTAAAAAATTTTAGGCAAATTAGAATTACAAAGGCAGTTTTTCCCCCCCCAACAAGTTTAAACATACTGTTGGGGTAAATTAGCATACTGGGCTAGGACATAGGTTTAGATCTAGCCCTTTCCTTTCTCCAATATGTTAGTATAAAGGGGCACACCAGACTATAAGAAGCAGACTTCGAACATACAGTAAGGATGCAGCATAATCACTAGCTCTCCAAACTGGACAAGAGACAAAACTAAATAATTATGCAACTGCACACCATTGATCCTTAAAAATGACTTTGAATCACAAAGATTAAAAATAAATGTAGTCGAAAGGTAGATAATCTCTTTAGAATACAGTATACGAAAAGAAAAACAACCTCATATTGTAGTCATATGCAGAAATTAATTAGGTAAAATTAAAGCAAATCAAGCAAGTCTGCTTCTAAAGGTTACCTTTTTATATTATTGGGATATATAAAAATGTGAGACAAGGTACAGATTAATTTATTAGAAGAAGTACAATGATGTGTAATTTGTAATTATTCTGATTCTTTCTAATTGGCTTTAATTTTAGATTCACTTACCATTAACAGGGCAAGAAAAATAAATGAGAAGTTTAGAAGTCTCTAAAGGGTTATGTATACACACGGTTTATGTGTATCTGCAATAATCTTTCAGTAACGTAGAAGGCTTAAATGTGACGTCTCCATTTCCAAGCATTAGTAACTAGCAAAATGTGCTCCTGAACATTTACCTGAATGTACAGATATAAATGTAAGATATGAAATAGTAAGTGTATTTATAGCATGCAGAATACGTATGAGTTAATATATGGATTGTAAAACAACCTGATATAGGATGTGGTCCATTTATGAATTCTGTGTAAGAATCAAAATGTTGACATAGCGTGATACAGTAAAAAATGAATAAATGTATAAATATAAGTGATTGTAGATACACTCACAAACGCACGTGAAATAAGGCTTTTCACCCTCTCAGGGGTAATATGTAGTACGATGAATGGACTGGAAAATCACTTCATAGGATATATGCAAATAAAGGAAATCGAAGATAGTGAAGTTTGTTATAAAAATACAAAATCACATTTATTGGTCACACTTACATGTGTGTATATAACAAACAGCGTATCTCCCAATAACCTGGAACTCCATACAGTGTGGTCATCAGTCCAAAATAGGATCTAACAGGAGTGGTTATGAGTAAACAGCCAGAATGCAAATAAATAAAAAGTTAAAAAGCAAAGTAAAATAACAATACAGAATATAAGTCCATATAGAAAGAATCCAACGCGTTTCGTCCTGTAGGGGTGTAGGACTTCTTCAGGGATGACATCCCTGAAGAAGTCCTACACCCCTACAGGACGAAACGCGTTGGATTCTTTCTATATGGACTTATATAGAAAGGGATGTCATCCCTGAAGAAGTCCTACACCCCTACAGGACGAAACGCGTTGGATTCTTTCTATATGGACTTATATTCTGTATTGTTATTTTACTTTGCTTTTAAACTTTTTATTTATTTGCATTCTGGCTGTTTACTCATAACCACTCCTGTTAGATCCTATTTTGGACTGATGACCACACTGTATGGAGTTCCAGGTTATTGGGAGATATGCTCTTTGTGATATACACACACAAGTGTGACCAATAAAGGTGATTTTGTATTTTTATAACAAACTTCACTATCTTCGATTTCCTTTATTTGCATATATCCTATGAAGTGATTTTCCAGTCCATTCATCGTACTACATATTACCCCTGAGAGGGTGAAAAGCCTTATTTCACGTGCGTTTGTGAGTGTATCTACAATCACTTATATTTATACATTTATTCATTTTTTACTGTATCACGCTATGTCAGCATTTTGATTCTTACACAGAATTCATAAATGGACCACATCCTATATCAGGTTGTTTTACAATCCATATATTAACTCATACGTATTCTGGGTGTTTTCCACTTTTTTTTGCTATTTTACATTGTCTCTTGGGTGTCTGTGAGGTACACCTGGGAATTCTTCCAGTTATACGTCTCTATTTCACATTTGTAGTGTATATACTGTTTTTTGCTCATATTTATAGCATGTACTGAAATAAAGCAGGCCACTCAACAGTTCTGCATTTGGCCGAACAGTTTGGGTCCTGTCCCGCATCTGGGGACAACAGGGAACTGCTCCCAAGCAGCGCATCATTACATGCGCATGCACTGTACAGCCGTAGAATAATGCAGTGAGCACTTCAGCAATGCTTCCTGCATGGTCCTGAAGCTTGGAGGGTGGCCAGACAGCCTATCAAGTAGGCGGGCTGCCCCCCTTTGCCACGGGCTCCACCCACTGCATCCCGATTGCATATCTCCCATTGAAAGGAGGTACGGTAAAGGTAAAATATTATGAATTAGTAGGTGTATCTGCATCAATGCCAAATCCACATGTAAAAAGCAACACTTACAGGACTAGGAATGGAATCTGGGTCCAACCTCTTCTGAGCAGGGGGTGGTGGGCCTTGAGGGGCCTGTGGAGGGCCAGGCTGGCTTCCATAGTTAGGGGCACGTGGATAATTTCCAGGAAAACCTGGCTGTGGTCCCCGAACTTGTCCGAAAGAGCCTGAGAAAATGTAGAAAGCTCATTTAAAAAAAAAAAAAGGCATAAAGAGCCTCTTTAGGCTGGCTCTTAGACAATGACACATATGTTACTGAATTGACATTGAAATTTCACGTGTCTGTTGAAATTGAAAACCGAACTGCAAAATTTAGTTCTTAATATCGAACTTGAAATAAATCTCCATCTCAGTTAGTCACAGCTTGACAATTTTAGACTACATTTTGCTATAAGTATGTGTTTAGTGAATAAACGTCATAGTACTTTTTTCCACTATCAACATAGCATTGTTTATGTCTCCCTTTTATGAAAATGTGTAGAGGTCTAAAGAGGGACCTATTTCTGGGAACAGGCTTATTCACATTCATAGCAACATTATTTACTGTAGATGCCATAATTCTCCTGTGCATTAGGAGATCCTTGTCCTTCTCAGAAAAGTCAGACTAACATATTTTGCTAAATGTAGTCTAGTGTAAATTATATTACCCTTGAGCAGTGTGTCACTGAGCTAATTATCCAAATGAAGAATGGTCATCAAGCTAACGTGTAGATAATGTGGATAAGAACCACTGATAATTTTGAGAAATACCGTCTCAATTAAGGGCTGCAGCAATTTTACACTGTCTCTTATTTTACAGGGATTTTTTTTAATGAATTTCACTCTTAAGCACACTGTATTAACCCTTTGAGTGTATGCTAATTTCAATTTGATTGAGTCTCACTTAGAACACTAGTTTCTACTTTATGTAGTTGACAGGTTCTCTAAACTGTACAGCTTTATGATCTTTGAAGAGGAGCATCTTTACATCATATTTTAATGCATTAAAAACAAAAATCATTAAAATTAGAGGGTCAATTGTTGACCACTGTTTCTCTTTAACATTGTAGATCACATGTTATAAAACAGAGAGACATTTTTAATTCCTAATTCCTTTAAAAAACTATATTTTAATACTTTAGCTTTTAGTTTTCGCATGCCAGTAAAAACAGATACATAAAATATTTACGTTGACCTACCCATATTGAGATGGGCACCTACTCAAAGAGTGTAGCCTGAGATACCTCAGGTCTACATTGTTCAATAAAAGAAGAAATCACCTAAAAAAATTAACATGGTTCATTTAAACCTATGCTGTAAAAGTTCCTTCCCATCAGTCATAGCCCTTGATGACTGCAGAACAATTATATGTTTTTGGTGTCTACAATGTATACAAGAAGTGCAAACCTGGGTTCTAAGCACATATGCAACTGTTTCATTGGCATACCATTCTGCTGGAGAGGAAATCCTCCTTGACCAGGAGGCATAGGAGGGGGACCTTGAGGACCTCCGGGCATAGTTGTCTGTGAATGAGATGGGGCTTGATTCGGTGAAGCTAATGGAGGGCCTGACATATGCTGTCCTGGCAATGGGGGACCTTGCATCGACATTTGAGAGCTTCCAGAAACATGAGTAGGATAACTTAAAGTTGGACCAGCAGAAGATTGGGGAGGGGCAAAGCCTTGTGTCTGTGGTGACGGAAGGCGCTGTGGTGGTGGAGGGCCAGCAAAATGTTGCGTTGGTGGTGGTTGAACTTGTGGAAGGTTCGTCGGGGGAATTCCTTGTGAAAGGTTCATTGGAGGAGAACCTTGGTTGTTCGAGTAAGGTGTGTAAACACTTGACGCTGTGGCAGGATAACTTCCCGAGGACGGTGGAAGAGGGCTTTGAGCTCCTGTGAAAAGGCAATATTCCATTAGTGCTTATAGTTCACCAAAATTCTTCAAAGGATTAGTAACAGAAGTGGATTTTATATAAAATAGCACATGAGACAAATACCAATTGTACACAACTGTGGCACACCTATTAATCATGACTTGTTGAAAGCACCAAGCAAGATAAGCCCATAAAAGTCAGCTCCTAATGCAATGTACTATGCAGACATGCTTGGATAGCAAGGTAAAATAAAGGTAAACCCCATTAGTTTCAAGTGTACATTTCATGGCACACTTTAAATGGGAATTGTTTATTTTATTTTTTTTAAATTCTACTTCAACTGTCAATTGTTGGCACAGAGGTCTGTGCCAAAAAATGACTGCCAGAGCAAGGCAGAACTATCCTACATAACGGAACCAGGAGTGTTTTACCCAAGAATTTGTACCAGGTGCACAGTCACACTGGAGGCAACCATTATGAAACAATATATAATTGTAAAAGGGAAATTACGGGGTAAAAAAAAAAAAAAAAATCACCATAAATTTTTCAACACTTTTTAGTGGGACTGCCTGTAGCAGACAAAGAACCCAAACAAAATCTTTTCATTCTAGTTTATGGTGTCTGATCTTATCTGATAAGAGTTTACTCTCCCAAGAGCAGTATCACTGATGAGTGGAACCAATTTAAAAACAGATAGCCATACTGTGACTGACAGCCTTGTTCACCTTAGGTTCCGTTGAGTCACAGCAGGGCGTCAGTCCAAAACTTGAAAAAAATTGCTACAGATAACTGCATGATTGACGGCTCTGAGAGGCTGTCTTAGACCTGCAAAGATTTTTTTTTAAAAACACTGTAGATCTAAAAAGGTGTGGGTAGCTACAGAGGGCTTGATCCACCATCACATTAGCATCATGCAAAGTTGCAATGGTGCTTATAATGAGACTTTAATGTCTAAACACAACTATTAAAAACTTACTTCCTTAGAAAAGTATATCAATTAAATTGTCAACAGCTTTCCCTCCATGAACCCCAATTCCTCTCCTGCAACCGTCATCAAAACAAAACCCTAAGCCCTCAGTGAATACTATCATAGTAACCTACTTTTCTACCCTACCCTTACCTTTTGTGCCACTATACCCGCTCCCACTAGCCTAGAAGCTCATTTAGCAGGGCCCTCAACACCCCTCTCTGTTCCTGTGTGTCCAACTCATCTGGTTACAAATACGTGTCTGTTAGTCCACCCATTGTACGGCGCTGTGGAATTTGTTGGCACTTTATTTTAAAAATTTTTTTTAATATTATTAATATACACTTACCATAACCGACTCCTGTTGGGGGGGCTGCTGTTTGTGCACTGCTAATGTGCATTCCCATCATTTGGTTGGTGAGTTGCTGTGCAGTAGTCGAGGATGGAGTATATTGCTGGAAAGTAGCTGCCTGTGGAAATGATCCTGGTTGCATGTAGGGCTGGGACATTGGTGGTCTGAAATAAATACCATAATAAGTCACCATGTGAAGAATGAATATGTTAAACAAAAAATTAATTGAGGTACTGTGGAAAAAAATATTAAAAGATTCCCCAAGGATTCCATTTGCCTATTTATACATATGTGACTAGAATATTAATAGCTAACTTTAACAATCCATATTTGCAAACTACATTTCCCGAGATGCTCAGACTTTTTGTAGGTGTAAGCGTAGGCTAAATTGGACTTAAATTAGCACAAGCTAATACACTTAATGTTAATCTGTGGCTTTTTGGTGCTGTCATTTTCTGAGAGACAAACAAAAAAAGTAACTTTAAGAAGTGAATAATACATCCGTATACCTGTACTGCACAAAATTTTAACATACCCTTTTCTTGACAGTTTTCTTTAGGGTTAAAATAAAATAGTTATGGTGACTGCAGTGTAAATTTAATATTATCTCACTCAAGTGACAGAAAAGCACTGCCCTTTAGAATGTCCGACAACATGGTGCACTGAATGGGTTCTAATCAAATCAACTCCACAAAAAAAAAGAAAAAAAGAGAAACATTTTCTAAAACATCTTGTATTCTCTTTTATCAATATTGTGCTTTAACAAATTTAAAAAAAAGTGTTTTTATATCAATATGTGAGGTTTATTTATATACATTTTGAGCATTTATAAAAAAAAAAGATTAAAACATGGCTTCCCCTTCCTTCTTTGTACAGTTTCCACAATTTTGAACAGGAATATAAGAAAATACATACCTTTGCATCTGATTGACAGATGATGCAGGTGTAGGCCCATTCTGCACATCACCCTGCCCGAATTGATTGTACTGAATCTGTTCTGGATGAAGAGAAGTTCCTGCTGCCGTTGATGTCCCTGATGTTGGTGGAGATCTTATGGGACCTGATGGTATATTGTAAACAGATGACAATTGTGAGAGAGATGCAGATGTGCTTATTGGCTAATCAACAATATATCCCCTTGGCGCTCCCTGATTACCACCTTTACTTTCAAGGCATAAATAATTCTACAAGCGTGAGAGGAGTCCAATGAGCTTTCATAAGTTCTAACAGATCACGGCTATGCATCTCACTGATCTGGCATAAAGTTATGCACATGGAAATCGCCAAAAAACACGTCAATCGTGAACCTGGTGCTGAAATTCTCCAGAACAGGATGGTTTATTAAGTTCTCTTAATAAAATTGATATAAATGACAAAGTATATAATCATTTACCTATATAATCAGAGGAAACAGAAGGAGAAGTGCCAGAGTTGAAAATATCAGGAGACCCTTTTAGAGGGAACCCTGAATTAGGATGGAAACCTGGAAATACAAATAGGAAGAAATATAGAAAAAGAAAAAAAAAAGGGGGGGGTGAGAAATGGAAAAGATGCATCAGCAACGAAAAAGAACAAATTCACGCTTCAAGAATTCATTTAAGAAGCTTCCTAGTAGATTGTATATGCTGTCTAACTGCACACATGTATATATACTTACCTTTTAAATATCCTATTGCACTTTTATATGAAGGAAAAAAAATAAAAACAAGCCTTACCTTTCCAAGATCTTGAATCTTTACATCATTACATATGGTGGCTGCAGCTTTAGGCAGACTCTTTTATGCCCATGAAAGGGTTCCACCAATCAGGTGCCTTATTTTGGTGCATGTGATTTAATAGTTTATTCCTAGGTGCAGTTTCACCATCATGTACGATAAGTTGAAATGCTTTAAAACTGATAGGAGCCATATATCATATATTGACTTCTATTTGTTTGTACGGTCTCATTCACATTTTAGTGAACCGGGTTGTGTGCAGTGATGAGCAGAACTGCAAATTGTGCATGGTCACAGCTCACTTTCTGAGAGAGATCAGAACAAGCTGTGAGGTGTGTGAATCCACACAAAATTAACACAGACAAGAACTAAGAATTTCAGAGGCATAACTGACAGGTGCAGTTAGACATTCTCAGAGGCAAAAGTGGGCAATGATGAAAAGCTAAGGTACTTAGAATGACAGTTTACAGGCCAAAATGTAAAATAACATTTTATGAAAAAAAAAAAAAATGCAATAATACATAAAAATATAGTTCAGACTAGTGGATATGACTGGATATGAATGTAATAGAGCTTGGTAATCATCTCACTTCTGTAAAATAATGGAGTGTGAGGTGCTACAACAGGGCTTGACAAATTTGCTTTGACTATAGGAGCCAGCTAAAAAAAACATTAGGGTCAGGACAAAATTACAATTCTTAAAGGGACACTATAGTTACCAGATCCATTAGTGCTTAATGTAGTGGTTCTGGTATCTATAGCCTGTCCCTGCAGGCATTTCAATGAAAACAATACTTTTCAGAGAAAATCCAGTGTTTACATTGCTATCTAGTAGAACCTCTAGTGGCAGTCACTCCCTCTATCTCAGTGCTGCACATTGTGTAGCACCTATGTTCAGTGTCTCAATGCCCTGCATGGAGACGCTGAACGTTCCACATAGAGATGCATTGATCTCTATGAGGAGAAGCTGATTGGGGCAGCATTTTGCCGCGCAATAGCCTCCCAATGCTTTCCTATGGAAAAGCATTGGACTGGCTGAGATCATCAAGCGTAATTATCTCAGTCATGGAGGTAGGGACAGCTGCTGCATGATCAGCTCGGCGTCAAAAACACATTTCCCATTTGATCAGAAGGGGGACAGTCACCTAAACACACTTACTGACACATAAAATTATGTGTTTTAATTCTATATAAGTCCACCCAGCCTCCCTACCTTTGGGAGAGCTGGAGTGGATCCTTTCCCTAGAGTCCAGTGTGGCTGCTGTCATCTTCAAGCACTTCTGACTCTTATTCGCTGATTAGTGATTACAGGGCCAGAGTGACATCATATTCTGGCTCCTGGCATCACTGCAGGCCACGCAAGGGAGCAGAGCAAGAAGAGAAGGAAGATTACAGCTCCCTTTGCTGCCTCCATTATGCACAGCCGCCTGTCTCCGAGTCTTTGTTACTTAGCAATGCTACCAACACTGTGTGTGCATTTTTGCACTGTCCTTATAACACACAGGCATTTAAAATTAAACTGAGAATTGTGGGAGGGTGTATAAATTATTTAGAAGCAGGGAAAATTCAGGGACCCACCCACTTCATGACAACATGATGGGCTCAGTGATTAACAATTAATTGTATTTTGATTTTCATTTGCTGGCCACAGATCCAATCCATATATATCAAGGTAAACGTGTTATCACAATTTGTGAATGATATGTTCCCATTAAACTGCTAGTCATATCTTGAATAGACAACTCTGAATATGTTACTATTAACAAATAACTAATGCAGGTTCACTGTTGGTAAATTTAGTTGATCTGCAATATTAGTTGTTATGAAGCAATGGAAAAATAAAAATTGAACAAAATTTCTGACAAACTGCAAAGTACAGATTTACATCCAAAACAGTGAGTTGGCTGAGATTTGCTTAAGATGCATTCTGGCTTTTAACCCTTTACTCTTCACTCCAAAGTGAGAGCTTTGTAAAAATTCTATAGATTTATATGTTTCAACTGTAATGTAAACATTTCACAAATTTAAAAGTGTTGATTCAACAATTTGAACAAAGCATATTTTATAACAGGGCTCCAATTTCAAGCATGATGCTACTAGCCAGGCATTACGTATTACTTACCACTGCATTCCTGACAAGTCCATGGCACACTAACTAGGGTGAATTTCTACTAACTATCTACATTTTCATTAGTTAAGGGCTACTAGAAATTTCTAGTCCTGTTATACAACCAAAGAATTTTGTTTCATATGATGCCAATTTTACTCCATATAGCAAATACATAAAACAAAATAGTACAAAGTAATGAGTAAAAGCTACAGTTTTTTTTTTTTAATAGTAATCTGAGACAACAATATGAAATAAATAATACAAATACCAGAGCTATCCTAATAGAGGGTACTGATCGGTAATCATTAAACGGACTGACTGCTGACACAATGCTTCCTGAATAGTGTATTTAATTTGTTCTGGATGATTTATTTGGACCAAACTCAACATGTGGTTCTGCTTATATAAATGCGTTCTATTAGTCCATTCTCTGCCTCTTGAAAGTAGTAATGTGCATAATTATCTTACATGGCATGCGTGGAAATGCACAAATTGAGAGATTTATCAAACAGGGTTATTTACTAAAGTGAAAATTATTTGTCAGCTATGTTTTTTTGTTTGGATACTCTGGCTATAGTTTTAAATTTTATTTTAAATTCTCGTGGTAAATAACCCTGAAAGTATTCTATTCTGAATAAATTGCAAAAATGTAAACGAGGAGGAGCCTTCAATGGTGATTCCTGCAGTTAGTACTTTAGACAAGTCTTTAAGAACTTTGATAAACCAATGTGTCCTATTCCAGCTTTTGATTAGAGATGTCATGTGTGCAAAGATATAAATAAAATGTACTGCCTGTACAGCAGACATTTCACTCATATCTACATAGAAATAATAAGTGAAACTTATAGCCAACAAATTAGATTTTTGCATACCTTGTGGAGGGGCCTGCTGTGGATACCCCTGCACTGGCCCATTGTACCCTGGATATTGATGTCCTCCAGGCATTGTTTGGCCACCGTAGACAGGCTGTTGGTATCCTCCAGGTTGAGGATGCATGTAAGGAGTAGCTGCTTGGTGAGGTTGCTGGTTTACGTTCATCTTGTGTACATCCCCAGACTGGCCTATCCTGTAAAGAAGAAAGAAAACAGTAGTGTAAGACCATACATTACATCTATGTTAACCTACTTTGTAGTAGAGCAGCTTGACTTAAAGGGACACTCCAGACCCCTAAAGCACTTTAGCGTCCTGAAAAACTTTTTGAGTGAAGAGTGTGTCCTACTTTTTTAAATTTTTTTTGAAAAAGTGCAATTTCAATAGAAATTGACACTTTTACAAGTTAACCATTAACATCCCCTCTCCCACCACTCACCCCACCAGACAACAGGTCCTGGATTGGTTACTTCCTGGTTTGATTAGCTTAGTTGCACTGAACTCAAGAGGCGGCAATTGCCCAGAGCATTTGCTTTACAAAAGACTTGTCATTGAGCTGCATTGGGAAGTCTTTGATTGAACAGTCACATAAAGTCTGGGCGGGGCTTGAAGGGGAGGGCTTGCAAAGGCTGCAGACAAGAGATCTTTAGTTTTTGCAAGCTGTTTTTAGATATAACTCAAATGAAAAAAAAAAGCATAATTAAATGCATGTTTTTATTGGGAGTATATTTAGTAAACAGTGATTTTATTTTGTATTTGGGCAGGGAAATGTCCCTTTAAGATAATGTGCATTTTTTTAAGTGAAGGTTATACTGACATAGCAATGATTATGGCGAAATGACCAAAGAGCATTGTTTACAAAAAATATATGCAACAGTAATTCATAATAATTGTATGGTTTAATCCACTGAACAGGATTTTTAATAGTCCTACATTCCAACATTTTAAGACCAATTATACACATATACACAATGTGATAGGCAACTTCTAGACACTTTTTTGTGTGTTTTAATAACATTATGATGGTAACTATGCGATCACTCAAAGCAAAAATCAGGATTGCAAGCACTCTACTTTTGCTAAAGCTTATTTTTCCTTATAAACTCAATATTACTTTTGCAGTAGAGTGCATATGTTGTATAGCACCCGTTACTCTTTACAGACCTGTAACAAACACACTCATGCCTTTACCTGCTGAAAACTACACACTTTGGTCTACTGTGCCACAATATTATCCATAACCCATTAATACATTTTATATTATATGCCAAATTAATGTAGGCTTTTAACCCCTTAAAGGACCGAACTTCTGGAATAAAGGGGAATCATGACATGTCACACATATCATGTGTCCTTAAGGGTTTAATGGACAAAGCAACTAATGCTAGATAATGATGGGGTTTTCCATGTGACAATGCTAGCTTCCCTGGTAACGAAGATGGGAATTCTCTTCTAAAATTGACAACTTAATAACTAGAAAATATTGCCTTCAAGAAAAATAAAACCTGTTTGACAGAATATGCTATTAACATAATAGGATAAATGCATGTTTAACATGCTGGTAGTGGACATGGCATGCAACTAAATAGCGTAGAAAAAAACCCCACTATGAACAGTTTAATAGTACTGCATGATATTTTACGATATCTTATCTCAGCTCCATAAACATGAATGTACTATGATGCATTTTAATGGACGTGAGCTTTGATTGCGGATAATGATGGTAAAAGATCTAATTATTTCAGTTCTTCTGAAATAAGTCCAAAGTTCCGCAACTACTTGATTAAAAGGACATGGACAAAAAAATATACAAACACACACACAAAAAAAAAATAAAAAAAATATGGAAATCCTTGCACATCACATACACAGCTAAACTCCACGCCCCTTTAACAATATGTACAGTAAATATTTAGCTCCGTCACGATTATAATTTAAACCGAACGTCGGGTATCACTGTTTTCAACTCTGCTACCATGAACTGACCTAATGTAGCTAATCTTCATTACACACACACACACACACAATAAAAATAACCATGAAGAAAAGAGGGCAAGTAAATACGGTACCCCAAAATATCAGCTCCTGATAAATACTAAGCTCCCACACGATTATAATTAAAACCAAATCACATATCACTAATTTCCGACTCTGCTGCTACGAACTGACCTAATATCGCTATACTTCATAATACACAAAATACAAACATGAAGAAAACAGGACAAATACTCCAAAATATCAATTCCAGATAAATACTAAGCTCCCACACGATTATAATTAAAACCAAACATCACGTATCACTAATTTCCTACTATGCTGCTACGAACTGACCCAATATAGCTATACTTCATGACAAAATAAAAACACAAAGAAAAGAGGGCAACCAAGTACCCCAAAACATTGGCTCCTGATACTGTAGCACTACTAACAAATACTGATATATAGTGATAACAAAAGGGTGTCTTTACATTCTCCCTTCCCTTATTTGGGTATAAGGTTTATCTTCTAATAAGCCATACACACATACAGGCTTTATACATATATTTAAAGGGGTAAAAAAAAAATAAACAAACAAGTCTTCTCCTAGACCGAGCTATAAAACAAACACCTTGCTATATAGATTAAAATAAAGTTCTGATTTCCCATACCCCCCTGTGAATGCAGTGTTGTGTTTAGTGGGTCAGAGAGGCCAGGCCTGCAGTGTTACAGTGTTACAGTGTTACAGGGCCCTGTGCGGTGACAGGGAGGGCCTGGCAGCACTGACATCCCCTGGATATGGCCTACCCGGGCAATGAATGGCAGCAAGGGGCTGGGCAGGCTCCTGGGCCGGCTCTCACACCCGGTAAGGACGAGGCTGTGTCCGTGGTCCCCGGTGTCAGTCCCCCCCCGGAACATCGGTACTCACCACCTCCCGTTCCGGTCTGCGCTTTCACTCCCTGCCCTTACTTTCCTGTTCGCTTCCCGAAAGCGTCGGCTCTAGTTCCTAGCGGAAATGACGTAGCCCCCCAGCCACTCAGGAGATCGGCTTGTCAGGCGCTGCCACGTTCGCATTCCGCCCAGGACAGGGAAAAGTGCCTCAAAGATCGCGGTGCGCAAGCGCAGCATCCGGGGAACGTGGGAATCGGAGCTGCACATGCGCAGTGTCGATCTGCGAAGCCTGGGCTGTCATTTTTGAATTGGGAAATTCATTTTTTTTTTTTTTTCAAAGGTTTATTTTAAACATGTGCACAAAGTAAAAAACTAAGGTGACTAGAGTGCAAAACAAAGACACAGGTGGTTAAGTCTCAGAATCAGCGTACAAACTGAATAAAGTGATGGATGATTGCTCTTGCAAGGAATAAATGTACCTAAATCATAAAATCTTCCACACTTTAAAATGCTTGGGGAAAAGATCCTGTTCTCTTTAATACATAGTTTTCCGTTATATATAATGTTTGCGCTTCTGCAGATATAAGAGAATAGTACAAATACAGGAGTGGCGTTGACGGCTGCGCTAAATGATTACATACATTTACCTCCTAATATGAGAAAGAAAAGCAGATAAGTGGTATATAAATAGGGTTACCAGATCCACCATGTTTTCAGAGACGCATATAATGTTGTCATACCCTTCAAGGGGTTGAAGGGACACTCCAAGCAGTATAACCACTACAACTCTCTAACCACAGTAGAACCACTTCAGCTATGGTCCAGGAATGGTCAAAAAAACTTATTTTCTATTAGAAAAATTTGATTGGACCATGAAGAGGGAAGAAGTGATGCAGAGTGACTTTGGTGAGGCATGGAAACACTTGAAAAGAACTTCTCCTAGCATTAGATTCAAGGTAAGTTTTTACTTTATTTACAGTGTTTGGTGTTGTAAAAGTGGGGTAGTTAATAGTGATAAATATGGCCGTATAAATATAAAAAATAATAGTAAAAAAGGGTTATAGTAACCAGGGGTCAAGTCCTGGGGAAAAAAAGTGTGGGAACTTACCCAAGATCCACCCCCCACCCCCACCCAAAAGCATCTTCACCTGTGTACCTCTTAACCTGCCTTTTGTTTCTTATCCCTTTTTAAAAATGTTTTACCCTGTATTTTATCTCCTATTTTTCCACATTGTGTGTCTTACACCTCCCTTGTGTATCTCTTACAAACCCCCTTTGTGTGTCTTACTCCCCCCAGCCCATTTGTGTGTCTCCTTCTCTCCCAGCCCCTTTGTGTCTTTTACTCTTACCAGCTCCTTTGTGTGTTTCTCTTTTACCACCAGCCCGTCTATCTTCTCCAGACCTTCTGTGTCTCTTTTTCCTATTCTCCAACCCCTCTGTGTCTCTTTCACCCATAGACAATTTGTATTTCCACCCCCAGGCCCTTCTGTGTGTCGCTTTCATCCCCAGCCACTCTGTGAACTTTCTCACCCCCAGGCCCACCTGTGTGTCTTTCTCCCTCCTCATGTGCCGCTGTGTATGTTTCTCCCCACTCAGGCCCTCTGTGTGCCACTCTCCCCTCCATGTCCATTAGTGTTCCTCTTCCCTCCCTTACCTGTCTCTTAGTGCCCCCATTCCCCTTAATGTTCCTCTCACTTCTCTTTTAGTGCCCCCCTTAATGTTCCTCTCCCCTCCCTCTTTTTAGCGTTCTTTCCCCCCGTCAAATAGTGTTCTTTCCCATTCCCCCCCTCTGCTCCCCCATAGTGTTCTTTCCCCACCTCCCCATATAGTTCTTTCCCCCCTCCCCCATAGTGTTCCCCCCTCCCCTGTCCCATAGTGTTCTCCCCATCCCATAGTGTTCTTTCACCCCCCGTCCCATAGTTTTCTTTCCCTCTACCCTGTCCATCGTGTTCTTTCCCCTCCTGTCCCACAGTGTTCTTCCCCATCCATGGTGTTCTTCCCCCTTCTCCTGTCCCATGAGTGTTCTTTCCCCCTCCCCTCCCCTTCATCATGTTCTTTCCCCCTCCTGCCCATCATGTTCTTTCCCCATCCCTGTCCATGAGTGTTCTCCCCCTCCATGTCCCATGGAGTTCTTCCCCCCACACCATTGTGTTCTTTCCCACCTACCCGTCCCATAATGTTCCCCCCCCTACCTCCCCAAATATCCTCCTCTATGATACATGGCATGTACACATTACTACACACACACAATAACACAGAGATACAGTAGACAGCATGGTAGACTATATACACCATAGTAGCAAGGTCTGATCCTTTGACTATCCATGTTAATATTGAAGGGAAGAAATTGACCATAGACCTAGGTACTGGGACTGCAGCTTCAGTTATGACAAAGACTGGAAAAAGTTAAATATTCCAATATCCAGTTAAATATTCCAACATTTGGGAGGATGTGCATCTGTGTCTACAAATAGTAAAACTAGTACAATACAATGAGTGGAAGGGTTATCGCTACAGATATACATGGCTGCTATTATCACCCTGTGTCAGTCACTCCAAGCCAATCCTACAGTGTACATACTTAAATCAGGTGGGACACCTCTACGTGTAAGGGGCTGGATATGGGTTCTTGGCCTCAACAACAGTGAGGTTAATCTTATTGGAGTTGATCGTGCCCCTATGTTTGAAGATAGTCTGGGAAAAGTTAGGAACAAAAGGTTCGGTTACAATTAATACCTGGAGCTAGACCAAAGTTTTGCAGCGTTCGGGCAGTGCAATTTGCTTTAAGGGCAGGATTTGATGCTGGACTGAGCAGGTTATAGAGTTTAAGATTATATCACCAGTTCATCGTAGTGAGGGCTTCTCCTGTTGTACCGGTACGGAAAAAAGATGGACAGATTCAATTTGGAGACTTTACGATGGTATTGAATGAACAATTAGCAGTTCATAAGTATCCTTTACTTAGGATGGAAGAGATTTTTGCTAACTTAGTAGGGGGACAGCATTTCACAAAACTATATTTAGAGAATGCTTACCTTCAACTAGAAGTACATCCAGAATCTCACAAATTACTCACCATCAATACTCACTATGGTTTATTTTTTAATTTTATTGTATAGACAATATACATTCTGGTCATTATATGAAAAAAAGGTAATATGAAACAAAAATCGTACATTTACAATGGGTATGATGCGTCAAGCAAACCTAAAGTGCATAGAGATTCCATGAGGATTGAACCAAAGAGAAAATCAGTTTTGTAAATCTATGCCAGAGCGAGACTCATCTTTGGAGGCGCTGGTGGTGTAGGCCTCTCAAACGAAAGGCTGATATCGGGCATTCTAGGGCTCTCTGGGTATTGAAACTTTCTGGGCTTGCACCCCATTATGTCTTGAGGTGGGGGGTGATTCTTCAGAGCCCAAAAAATTAGGTAAAAAGCTTCTTGCATGCCAGTCTGATGCAGACCTCCTCAGAGATGTGTCATTGCTACAGCTCAGTCAGCCACGTTTACTCACCATGGTTTATTTCAATATAATCATGTGGTCTCCTGCATCAGCAATCTGGCAACGCACCATGGAGAAATTGTTAACTACCCCATGTTTAATGCCTTTTAGATGACATGTTAATCACATGGGAAGAAGGCACAGAGGAAGAACACAGACACTGTGATGGTCTACATACTGCTGATGACAAAGTCAAGGCCTTGCAAGAAGCTCCTAAACCACAAAATGAATCACAGATGAGATCATACCTTGGTCTACTCAACTATTATCACCATTTTCTTCCATGCTTAGCACATACCTTATACTCACTGCATTAAGTTCTTCAGACAAACCGTCCCTGGTTGTGGAGAAATTAGTGCAATTAGACTTTACAGCATTCCAAAAACCTGCTTTTGTCTTCTCGCATGTTAATGCACTTTGATCTTTATAAACCTCTCACAGTAGCATGTGATACTTCACCTTATGGTTTAGGGGCTATCTAATCACACACAACGTTAGATGGATCAGATCAGCTAGTAGCCCTTACTTCTTGTTCTCTGACGACAACCAAGAAGAATTATTCTCAGTTAGACAAGGAAGCACTGGTTGTAGAATGGGCTGTGAAGAGGTTCCATAACTACATTTATGGCAGGGAATTTACTCTGTTAACTCATCATATGTCACTGCTAAGCATTTCTAATCCAAAGAAGGAAAATTTAACTACAACAGCAGCCAGATGGTAATGATACACTCTAACCTTGGGTGCATATCATTACTCTATCAGATATTATCAGACAGATACTCTATCAGACACTAAGACTCTATCCTGCACACCTTCATTTATTTTTAACTTAACCACCCTGTAAATTTATTTTATTTAATATATCCTGTGTACATTGTATATTTTCTTGTTTTCTTGTATTTATATCTTGTCTGTTATGCTAAAGTGTAGTTTTGCTAGCCCTGTATGTAATTGTTTTATTCACCTATATGCATTCCTCTATTTCCCCTCTGATTTGTGACTGACCTCTGACCCCTCCCTTTTCTTATTGATATGTTTGTTTTTATTTGAATATCCATCTCTTCATCTCTGTCCATAAATACATTTCCCCCTCCCTTACCTTTATTGCAAGCTCTCTGACCCTCACATATCTTTATTCAACAGCCTGATTCCCCAACTTTGCAAGCCCATTCCTTCAGTGAGCAAGCCTGATGCCCACCCCATGCTCATTATTACATTTATAGATTGCCTGTCACACCTACATTTTAGTTAGGTTAAAAAAAAAACCTGTCTCTTATTAGTACACTCCTGCACTTTCTTAACCCATAAAACACCTTCACCTCTTGATATTGCAATTATCTCCAATTTTTTTTTTCACAGTTTAGCAATGATCTGTTTTCTCCTCCTCTTTATTTCCTCAGTCTCCCTCAGTATAAAAATCTCTCCTTACACCCACTTCACTCATCCCCCCATCCACATTTACATATGCTCTTCTCTGCTACACTCCCCCCTTCTCTAATCTCATGCCTTACACTCATTTTTCTACTCTCTCACTCCAACCCACAATCGATCTCATCCTAGACCCCATGCATTCAAAACCCATTCACACCTCCTGTCACTTTCTCTCTTCCTACTTCTAGCAGCTGGTGATGTCTCTCCCAATCCAGGGCCCTTCACCTTCTCTACACACACTAAGACAACCAGAAA